CCAGAGTTTCCTAGAATGAAATCCCAAGAAAGCCAGGCCCACCCTGAAGCCCAGCGTGTGGGCTTACACACATGGCAGTCTCACCAGACAGAAGCAGGGGAGAAGGTACAAGCCCTCACAAGGGGGACAAAGTCAGGCAGGAGAAGAGGTAAGTGCAGTTAGGAAAGAGAAGACAGGCCAGATTTCTGGATCCTGTGGAGGTTTTCCCAAGGATTTAAAATTTACATTATTTCAAGTATCTTGGAAGAGACTCCTTCGCCGTTCACTAGACTATTTCCTCCAGAGAACACATCTAGACAGTATCTCCCAGCCTCTTGCAGTCAGAGGCCGCCACAAGACTGGGTTCTAGAAGAAATGAGGTTTGCTACTTCCAGGCCTGGCCCACGGAACCTCCTGGACAATCCTAGTTCTTTCTCTCCTCTCATTTGCTGCCCAGGGGTAGAGGGTTCCATGGCCTCCCTAAGGCTTAGAGGTAGTAGAGCCTCCAGTGGGAAGAAACTTAGGTCCCTGAGTGACTGCGTGGAGCAGAGCCTTCTCATTGACCCACATTGTGCTAGGACTGGAGTGAGAAGTAAACTTGAGTTAGGGGTTTTGTCATGCAGCTAGCTTACACTTTGGAACAGCAAATGGGTACTGTGCTACCTCTCTGGCAACTTCTCTTTCTTTTTCCTTTCTTTCATCACCTAAACAAAAGCACCTGCCAAGTGTCAGAGCTCTTCTGTCCACTTTCCCCAGGTCAGCAAGCGCCCCTCGTCCTGATTTCTCTTCTTGAGCCACCCGGCAGTTACCCACACAGGCAAACGCCTCTGAATCTAGACTCCTGAGCTTCTCCCCAGAGTGCTTCTCTCTCCCAGCCTCTCTTTCGCTGTCACTCTTTGGCCTCAAGCTTCTGCTGGTCAAATCAGGTAGGCGTCTCTATGAGTTTTCAATTCCCCTTCCTCTTCATCGCCTGCACCAGGCAGAACGCGGTCACTGCTTCTTCACCGCCCCTCCCCCACTCTTCCCCTCACCTCTGAGTCCTGCTGGCTTCAACTCTGTCCTCAAGCTGGGTGTGGCTGTGCCAACCCCTACCTTCACATTACAGAACCCAGGGTTATGTCCACATCAGCCCTTGCTGGGACTGTTGCAATAGATGTGTTTAAAAAGTAAGACATATTTTAAGCATACAGAAATGCATAGTTGATATAACTAACATTTGTACCAATCACCAACTTTATCCAACAATATTTGGCTCTATATGAAAATGAAGGGAGAAAAGAGGGGAAATGATTTGATCTAGGGAATGAAAGGCTATGTTTTCTCTTATGTTGTATTACATGGAATTTCACAGTAAAATTTCACACTAAGGCTTATGTATAGTACCATATCTAGATTCTTCTTTCCATTTCCATGTTTAAATGTTTTCTCTCTGTTGCATAAACCTTTGGTGTAACAGAAACCTGATGTCAGCACACACCCCAAATGATTTTTTATGCATTTTTACAAAAAAAAAAAAAAAAAGTCATTTGGGCTGCTCAATTTCATACATGGAACTAAATATTTTTCTATGGATTATCATCAACTCTCAGAATCAGAAAATGAATGGGAAGCCATCTATCTATCCTTCTATCTATGAACATCTGTCTCTGTGTGTATAGAAAAATAACTACATGTATTTTAAAATAAATTATTAGATATATTTGAAACCCCCAACTGCCTCTGCTAGAGATACATATCTAGTTAAGAATTGAGTTTCTCTGGTTGTTGGGGAAGCTCAATGTAGTTTAAATGCCTTTCGTTTTTCCAACGTTCTCATCTGCTTTGTTTTTACCTATATGCCATTTGAAAATGGTTTGTCCCTTTTCAATTGATATGAATGACCTCTTTACAAATCATGGCCTCTGATCCTTCATCAGGTATCTGCAGAGCAACAACAGTTCCAAGTCTGCAGCTCCCCCTCTTACCTTATTCCCAGGACCTTCTTTTGTACCACAGTTTTCTATTTTAATACAGTCAATAACATTACATTTTTTTACCCTTTGTGGTTTGGGCCTTTGATGAGCTACTTAAGAAATCCCTCTGCAGCCTGAAGTCAAAAAACTCTTATATTTTTGTCTGAACATTTTATTGTTCAGCTATTCATATTGAGGTCTAAACCCCACCAGGAATTTATTTTTTGTGTGAGACATAAGGTAGGGACCTAATTTTATCTCCCCCAGATGGATAGCTAGTTGTGCTCCCGATGCCTGCTCTGCTGCATATCACACTCCCACCCATCCATGGGCTGCTTCTCGCCTCTCCATCCTGTCACCTTGGCTGACTTCCCGGGGAAGGATGGCACAGTAATTATCATCACGTTACTGTACATCTTGGTCTCTTGTGAGTACGGCCTGCCTCCTCCCCTCGTTCTTCTCCAGATCTGCCTCGGCTGTGTGTTTTGGTTTCCTGTTGCTGCATAACAGACCATCTCAAGACGCGATGGCTTGAAGCCACCACTGAAAAATAAAATGGACGAGCTGAGGAACGAGTCCTCCCATGTGGCACCAAGTGTCTGAAGAGGAGGAGAGGCAAAGGAAGCAGCGGCTGTGCAGCTGCTGACAGACCCTCAGGGACGCTGCTCCTGGGGTGGGTGGCTTGGACATGACAATGACCTCACACCTCCTGGGGCTCCAGGTCAAGGATGAGCAATCCCCTCCTACCTCGACCTTGGGGCCTGGGGTTTAGGGGTGGCCTGTTGCCATGGAGACCCAGTACTGAGAAAAGGGAAAGGCTATGCACAGCTCTGGAAAGGGACTCCCAGGCCTTTGGTGGTCACAGGGCCAGCCTCCTCCCTGGGGATGGGAAGGACCACCCAAGTCCTGGGGTCTAATTGTGAACTGGGAATCTCTCCCCTTGAACTTTCCAGCCCACCTCCCTCAACCTGGCCCCACAGTGCCTGGCCCCACAGGTCTGCTGCACCCCTGTGATCCCCTCCTGCCTCTGGAGGCTTATATCACAAAAGCTCATCTTCCACCACCCTTCCCCAACCCCTGCAGCATTCCTCCAGCTGTATCTGTGCCTGTTTGTATTGTCACTAGTTTTTCTCACACACACACACACACACACACACACACACACACACACACACATTCTCAGTAAACAGGGACCCAGAAATGAAGTTGTTAAAACTTCAGAGTCTAGGATCTACCATTTACTAGCTGTGTAATTTGAGGGAGTTACTTAGCTTCTCTGTGCCTCAATTTTTCCATCTGCAAAATGGGAAAAAGTAGTTCTCTAATTGGGATCTTGGAGCCATTAATCCACATGGAGGAATCTGGCATTACGTGCTCTCTCCATGTTGGCCTATTGAAATTAACTTCTGTATCCTCAACCCCGAGCCAAGTGCCTGGCTGTCTGTGGCACCCATAAATATTTCTCTAATGAATACAGGTCAGTCAGCTCCAGGACCTCCAGTCCAAGCTAATTCTTCAGTTTTGACAGTTTGAGAGGAAACTTAATCCCAGGATAACTCCTGGGGTGGCAGCCAGTCTTGCAGGCAAGAGACCCAAGTTGGGGAGCACATGGTGAAGATGGGCTCCCCCAGTGGGTACATAGGCGAAAATATAGACCAAAAGCAGAAGTGCTGCTGGGGGTCATGAAGGACCAAAGGTCAAGTGTGGCTGGTGGTCAATCCCAATGACCTCCTCAGAGCAAGGCTGGGACAGGTAGAGTCAGAGTGCACCCATCGCCTCCCTCTAGCAGTCAGATCTGGATTGCAGGAGGAGGATTGGGCAAGTGGAGCAGGGCAGAGACCCCAGGAGCCAGGATGACACTCAGAGACCCCAACTCCCTCCCTATTCCCACCTCCCACAACCTGAGGGCCTGGCCCCACAGGTCTGCAGTCTGTGTCCCACGGTGACCCAGGCCAAGGACAGACCATATCAACACTGGTATCCTGCCATCAACACTGCAGATGATGGCAGCACAGATGTCACAGTCAGAGATGACAGGAGCTTGCTCACCTTCCTCCCAGAGGAAGACCTCATCCTGGAAGCCCAGCCCCCCAGACACCAAACCTCCTGTCCTTCTCTTGCCCAACCACTCACTCCCTTTCTGGCCATGGTGCAGCCTGGCCTTAGTCCCACCCTGTGGGCAAGGCCGAGGTCTCCTCGTGACTGAGGGCAGGCCATGTCCTGTTCCACAAAAACCTTCACAAACCAACTGCCTGGGCAGGAACAGGCGAGCTCCCTTCATGGAGAGACTGAAGGCCAAGCTGAGTCCACGGGACTCTTTATTGGAGCCTGAAAAGTGGGGTTTACATCCCCACTTGCAGGCAAGAGACCCAAGTTGGGGAACACAGGTCCAGTAACCCTGGAGAAGTGACAAGCCTGCAGTTCCCAAGGAGCTTCCCCAGAGACAGCAGAACACTATCCTGATGCCACCTAACCTGGATCCCCCCCTCCCCCCTGACTCAGCATTCAGACACTCTTTGAGGGCACATAAAGAAAAAGAGACCCTGTCTCCAGCAGGGCCCTGCGCAGCCTGCTGGGTGTGACTAAGATGCGGGTATAACGCCTTCCACGGAGGGCAGAGGAGCCCGAATCAATTCGGATAGAGTTGTGTGAATGGCCACAGGGAAGAAGCTCCCCCACCCACACTACCTGGCAAGGGCAAGGGCTCAAGAGTAGTGGGCACTGCCCACATCCCACTATTCTTCCTGGCAGAATCTAAGAATCCCAAGGGTGGGAATGGAGGTAGAATCAGGAGACCAGGCAGGAGAGGAGGGAGCTGGGGTGGGCAGCACTCCCCAGCACTGGCCTAGAAACTCCGAGAAGCACCAACAGGGGAACTTGCACAATCTGGCAGGATTTTGTGGCCCCTGGTCAAGAGGAAGTGATGGTCACACAGGGAGGCAAGAAATGGGTTACTCAGATGGGCTGGGGTTGTGGCTCAATGATAGAGCACTTGCCTAGCACGCGTGAGGCACTGGGTTTGATCCCTAGCACCACGTGAAAAACTGCATAAACAAAATAAAGATATTGTGTCCATCCACAACTAGAAATATTTTTAAAAAAGAAAGAAGGAAAGAAAAAAAATGGGTTACTCAGAGGGCCCCAGGCCCCTGCCTAGTTGGACTCTGCTGTAGCACTCTTCCTAGCCCCTGGGGGGTGGTACCGGGGAGGGACCCAGAAACCCCTCTCTTATGCCCACAGCTTGTCTATGGCAGCACTCTGCCTCCAAAGGGCGTGGCCCCTGACGGCTTGTGGTCATCTCTGCCACATCAAGTCCCCCCATTGCTGGTAGAGTAGCTTTGTACCTAGGGAGCATTTTGGCCAGTGGTCACTGCCTGGTGAATTCTGCTTCAATTCCCAGGCTCCCCACTGAGGGCGGCTGGCGGGGAGGGTGGCAGTCTTTTTCCGGTAATGCTGGCATATTCCACAGTCTGAAGGGGGTCGGGCACGGGCTTCAGGTTAGAGTTTGGGTGAGTGTTACTGTAGATGGAGTCCTCAGTGCCAAAGTGGTTTAGATGGATGAGTGACGCATAGCAGATGGCCCCAGTGTCCTCATCAGAGAGGATCTGCTGATGGAAGCCCTGGAAATCAAAAAAGATAGACGTCCCACTGTACAGATCACAGCTGCAGTGGTCAGGGGCCCTCAGAGTGCCCGGAACTGAGTGGAGGACACAGATAAGATGTAGGACAAGGCATGGATCCTGCAGAGCCTTTGGCCGTGAATGGCTTTCATGGTCACCGCGCATGAGGAAGAAGGCTACACAGTGTGGTCTGTGAAGCAGCCTCATCAGCATCACCGGGAACTTGTTAAAAATGCAGAACCAGGCTCCACTCCAGAGCCACGGAGGCAAAGTCCCCGGGGAGAGGGCTAGAACACTGGATGGGGTGTTATTTGTAGTGTGATCCCAGCATTACACAAGGGCTGAACCCGAGGACTTGAGGTCCTTCCCATCCTATGTTTCTGTGACTCCAAGAATCTTAGGTATTTAGACAGGACAGGCCTACCCAAGAGAAGCTGCCCAGTCCTCAGCCCTGGGGAGCCATGCTGCTTCCCGTGTTGGCCCCACGCAATTGAACCCAGGCAGCCAATCCCTAGGCAGGCTCTGACCCGACCTCTTAGGAGAAGCTGCCTCCTGTGAAGGCCTGGGGTGAAGGTCAAGAGCCAGGTCAGCCAACTCTCTCCAAGGAACCTGAGTTGAGGAGTTTGGGGAAAGGAAGTGAGTAGATGGGTCTCAAGGCGGTGACGGCCCAAGCAGCCATGAGTATGTCAAGGTCTGGGGTGAACAGAAACTGTGAGAAAGCGCAGGCTGGGAAGTTAAGGTATGTGGGAAGGCTGTCGGTCCCCGTCCCAGGGGAGGGCTGTCCTACTCACAGGGGCCTTCACTTCCTTGTGATCTGAAATGTCCTCATAGATGTGGTGGGATTCCTTCTCACCTGTGAAGAAGACTCAAACTTAGGGGAAGGACCTCTACCCAGCTCCCGTGGAATAAGGCAGAGAGACCAGGCCCTGGCTGGGTGGTGGAAGGGACTCTGATGGGGAGAGGCCAGAGCTTGTTCCTGCCTGAGGAGGCCTCAAGTGCCTGGCACAGAATAGTATCCAGGGACACTACGGAGCAAAACAACCCAGCTGCCCGTGTCTAACTGGCCTAAGCTAGGTAAACTTCATTATCAGTGCACAGAGAATTCCAAATTTAAACATCAAATTTAGGTAGGATCTATTTGCTGATGCAGATATTTGCAGTAATGTCTTTCAAATTTTTTGAACCAGGAACCCCAATGAGAAATACCATTTACCCCACAAACTCACACTCTCACACCTGGGCACTCACTTTTCAAAGTTCAGTGAGAAATTGTGCAAAGCATTTTGACGTTTTGCTTTTCTATTCTGCTTTATAAAAATGCTGTTGTGACCCACTAAACTGATTTTATACCGTTTGAAAAATACACATCTAAAATTTTATAATCCTCTCTTCCCCTGAGGATTTGTACTTGAAAAATTCATATCCACGAGCTCCAATATACTTCTGACCCATGCATACATTTTAATCTTGTTGTCAACAGAACCATCTCCAGGGCACACAATTAACAAGCACATAGTTTTATGTTCTAAAGAAAGCAATCAACAAAAAAGAATCAAGAAAAGTGGTAGAAGTCATCAAAGTGCGGCAGACTTCACATGCAACTGATGATAGAAACTTTAAACTTTGAAGATTAAAGTCCTAGAAGTGCTTTTAGGAGGGCAAAAAAAAATCCCCTTTGTTCCCCTTTCATTTATGTATTTTTAAATTTTATTGTGGGGCTGAGGGTGTAGCTCAGTGGTAGAGCATGTATTTAGCATGCCTGAGGTCATGGGTTCCCTCTCCAGCACATGGAAGAAAAAAAAATCATTGGGTATATTTAAGGTGTACAACATGATGTTACAAAATATATAACCACAGTGAAATGGTTACCACAGTAGAAGAAATTAACACATCCTCTCCTCATTACCCATAATCCTCCCTGTGGCAAGAGCAGCTGTAATCTCCTGGTTTTGCAGAAATCACGCACAGAATATGCCATTATTAGCACAGCCCTCATGTTGTACATTAGGTCTTTTGACTTATTCATCTTGGATATTTGCTACTTGGTGTCTTTTGGCCTCTATCTCCCCATTTCATCCCCTACCATGAGGAAGATGAAATATAAAAATGATAGCAACAATATTTTTTAAATGTCATTACCCGGAAAAGTTCATTACATAGACTTGTTAAAAAGTCCTTAAACATAAAGATGGTAAAAGTATGCGATCCCAAATGGATAATACTAGCACACCTACATTCAGGTAAATGGGCATGGAGTTGAATTGGCTTCAGGTGAACTGACCTTGAGCTTCTAAGGAGGACTGGTTAACCCTCAGGACCAGGGGACCTGCCATCTGGCAAAGGGAAGGAGAGCCACTTGGACACATCACCTCTTCTCAGTTTCCTTGTTGGTAAAATGAGCATGATAAGCCTTGTCCCCACCGTGAGGGGACTGCCTGTAAATGGCTGAGCAGTCATTAGTCCACCCAGAGCCAAGGACAGGGGCTCACCTTTCCTGTCTCTTCCTCGGGCTTTCCTGAGATATAGGACCATGAGGACAATGAACCCCAGCAGCAGGACAGCCACCACCACGCCAGAGGAGATGAATATCCACTTCCGGTTGCCTGAAGGGCTTGGGAACAAGGACCGGCCAGGTGAGGGGAGCTGGAGTCCAGCTTCACCTCCTGCCAGAAAACCATCCCTCCCCATGCCTGTGGTCCCTCCAGGCCCTCCTGGGCTTCCCTTCTGTCCCTGCTGCTGGGCTGAGCAGGAGACAGTCACAATGGCAGCCACACTGGCAGGGGCTCTGCCTAGCAAGTCTCACGGTCTCACCTCTGCAAAGTAAGAATGCTGCTGATGTCATGAGATTTTTTTTCCTTTTCCTTTTCTGACTTTTGCAGCTTAACTTTCCTTCCGGGCCGCCTTTGGAAGGTCTGCACTCACCCCTCTTAGCCTCCTGAACTGACCTTTGTCCCTACTGCTTCACCCCAGCCCTTCTCTGCGAGGTGCAGGCGGCTCTCAGGGTACACTAGGGTCATCTGACAACAGCTCTGCCTGCTAATAAAGCATTTCCCTAGGTCCTGTCCTAAGTCAGAGGAAGGACACAGAGGTAGGCATCCTTACGCTGGAGCAGGCTCCTAGGGAAAGTGACTGGGCGTCAGGGTCAGAGGGGGGCGAGGGAGTAGTTCCAGGGACATCTCTCAGCTCCACTGACAGGCACCTGATTTCTGGGTTAATCTCTTGACCTGGGATGGTTTACAAGAGCCCAGGTTCACAATCTGCAGGGAGGGTGGGTAGAGGGCAGGGGACAGAGACCCACTTTCTGGGGTGGCAGCAGAAAACAATCAATGACTACAGACCATGCCTTTCCCCAGACCCCCTGCAGCTCTGGGATGGCTCCCTGCTCTTTCTGAAGATAGAGAAGGCTGGAAGAGGGACAGAGGCAGAAGCCACAGCCATGGTCTTGCCTGGCATCGGGCTACATCCCTGGAATCCCCGCCCTCAGTATTTGGGGGCACCCGGCACAGTCCACCAAGGGTGGGAGGAAACAGGGCTAAGAGATTGGGGGAGGGGCTCAGCAATACCTTCCAATGACAGGGCTGGTGGCAAAGGCCATGGCTGTTGTCATTCTGATGCTCCTGGTGGTGGGAGGGGTTGAAGCTGTAAGAGATGACAATATGTGGAGTGCCCATCTGCTCCCCTGCACTCCAGGTCTCCCACTCCCAGATCCTAGCCCTGGATGAGAGGAGCCCACACATGGCCTTGGACCAGGAGGGGATGTGCTGCTCGATTTCCCTCATCGGGAAGTGCCACAGCGTGAGCGGCTTTAGTGTCACTTGTATATCGGTTATGTTGTGGGCATCTCTGTTTTTGCTATTTTTGAGCATGTCTTACACTTCCAACCCCTAAAGCCTCCCCCTAAGCACCCTGGGGTCTCCACTAAATAAATTCCTGCTCATCATCCATCAAGGCTGGGGGGTACCACCTCAGAGTCCTTCCAGGGTGAGAGGCTGCACCCTGGGCTTGTCCGACCCCTCCCTTCACTGGGCCTCTACCCAACATGCTTCTACTGAGGCACCTACCACCCTTTATGCACATGTCTGTTCTAGCCCTTTATGAACATGTCCGTCTTTCTGTCTAGGCGTGGGGTCCTCCAGCATACAGTTGGGACTTCAGGTTTTGGGATCCCCTTCCACAGCCTAGCTTCCCCCCATGATGTACGTGGAATGAGCACTGAGCTAAACTTGGACAGCAAATGGCCAAGAATGACCTTCAGGCACCTGTTAGACCAAATGGCTGGGCAGACTCAGCTCCACGGGGAGAGCGGGCTGAGAAGGTGTAGTTCGAGCTCTGATGTCACAGATAAAGGCAGGGGGTTGCAACTCTGCAGTTCTTAGAAAGAATACCCAGGGGCCTCAGAATTAGTGATCACCCCTAAATCGCCATTCTAAACCCTAAGGCTCTCAGTGGTTAGGGGCAGGTCCAGGGTGAGGATCCTCAGGTGCGACCCCTCCAGGTCTCAGCCCTTGAGTCTCCCGCCTGCCTGGCTCTTTAGCTGCCTCCTGTCTGTTCACATTTCTCCAGGACCCACCCCACTCCCAGAACTGCCCTGTGGTCTTTCTGTGCAGCGGACCCCACAGCCCCTCGAGAGAACACTGGGGTTAGGATCAGGGGTGGGGATGTCCAAGAAAGGACTGCTCCTCGGCTGTGCTCAAGCTTGGGGATGCTCTAAGTTCCTTCCAAATAGATGGCAGCATCCTGTTGGTGGCAGCAAAAATGTTAAGAGAAACACGTGAAGGAAGAATCGATTGGAAACCAGGAGACTCCAGTTTCTAGTGCCAGTTCAGCCCTCGACCACCAGGTGACTGTGGGACGCACCCCGTGACGCTACTTGAGTGGTCTTTTACTCAGTACTGAGCCATGGGGAGTTAGGTCTCCCCTTGGGAATGATCCCAGGTCTACCAATGGGACAGCCCTCGAGCTCAGGGATTTGGGCGTTACCCTGGGCTTGGACAGCCCACCTACTACCTTATTTGGCAAAAGAAGATTACATTGAAAGCCTTTTGAAGCCCCCTTGTATAAACAAAGAAAACGTGGGTTCTTACTCTCTCTTCCCAGTGTGGAAGCAGGACCCTTAAGGTCGCAGAGCTGCCCCACCCTCATTTTTCAAAATTATTGCTGTGTCATGTGATTTTTCACCGTATTTCTCAGCCAGCACATTTCACGCAAGGGAAGCCCAAATGTCATACCCTGCACAGGACTCAGGAGAGAAGAGTAAGAATCAAGAGGTGACCTTGAGCAAGGGGCTTTTCTTCTTATGCCCCAGATATTAGGTAGGAGAAGGTTGGAGAACATGACTTCTAGGTCCTCTCCAGCTCTGACACCTTGTGATTATAGAAGGCCAAGAGCCACATATATAAGAAGGGGGATAACTCACCTTTAAACACCTTCAGATGGATGGTTCTGAGAATGTAGACCTCGGTATTTTCATAGATTCCACAATAATAGACTCCGGAGTCATTTACCCTGAGTTTAGTCATAGTGACTTCGAAGTAGTCAAGCTTGAGTTGATCCTGGATGGAGGATTGGGGCTCTTTCCTGCCCCTGCCCACTAGTAATGTACAATAATTTGCTGACATTTTCCGACACCAGGTCTTCACCTTTGAGCGTTGGGAGGGCTTGTACCAGCATCTCACTACGATCATCTCACCCTCTGGTTTTTGTAGGAACTCTGTGTTCTGTGCCCAGGAGCCTGAGAACACACCCTCAAGTCAGAGAGCCCCCACACCTGCCACAGCAGGGCTAGGAAGTGGGGTTTCCCTCCTCAGAGAGCAAGTTGCTGTGGCTACCCTCAGAAAGTGCCCCAGAGCCAGCCTCTGGCCACAGGGCACCCTTTCCTCGCTCTCCCCTCCACAGAGCCCCGTTCATGTGCATCTCACCTCTCCATCCTCCTCTCCTCTCCCCCGTGCCCTTCCCTCCTCCCTGGTCCCTTACCTGAGGCCAGGAGCACCATCAGGATGAGGGGGATCAGGTGTGTGGCCTCCTGGGCCATGGGTCGTCTTCTTGAACTGCAGTGGAGGGAGGAAGGGAGGGGGCAGGGAAGCCCTGAGATCAGGGGGCAGAGCTGGGTGGGATTCAGCCTGGGCTAGGTGAGGTGCTGAAGATGGCAGAGATCTTGTAGGGAAGCAGGGAATCTGGGGAGGACGGAGGAGGCCTTGACCTTCATGGACCCTCCAGCCCTCGGCTCGACCTTTGGGTTTGGAAGGCTCACAGCCCTGGGACTGACCGCCCAGGCTCCTCCAGGACACAGCCTCTTCCCCTTTGTAGGCCACCCCCCTGGCGAGGCTGTGGGAGGAGGAACCGATGGTGAAATAAGAGCCATTTCTCTTCCCTCCCCCAAGTCAAGGAACTGCTGAAGGTGGGTGACAGAGTTAGGGGCCTTTTTGGAGGTCTGACCAGAGTCCTAAGTCCCATTGGTCCCCAGTGGTTGTAGACTTGGGGTCCAGGTCTTCCAGAAAAATGGGAAGCTCTGTGGGGACCAGAGGAGAAAAGGAGGAAGAAGATGGAGACTGATTTCCTGGAAATCAGGAATGGGGAGGGTCCTGGAAGAGGTGGGAAAGAGCAAAGCTGGTGGGGGTGTTAAATCCAGAAGGAGGGAGAGGAAGGAGAAGAGGAAAGCAGGGGGTCTCAGCCCCACATCATCCCCACACCCCAGCCCCCAGCCTGCCATCCGCACTCCACTAAGCCTCTGCTGAAAAACTGCTCTAATCAAGGACGATTTTAAACAGCTGTCATCAGACCAGCTACGAAAATCATCGCAGGTTCCAGAGAACAGACTGTGCGAGGCAGAGGGAGGGTCGATGGCTCTGGGAAAAGAAGCACAGGGGGCAGCACAGGACAGGAGGAGTGGGTTGTCATGCAGGCCCCGGGGAAGCCCAGGGCCCAGGGCCTCGCCAGGCCTGAGGACAGGAGAAGCCCTCCAGACTTGCCCAAGCTGGGGCCCCAGACCCCAGGCCAGCCAGTCGGAAGGCAGGGCGCCCTGGGATGGGGGAGGGAGGTCTAGCCTTGGCAAGGTGACTTTCTACAGCAGAAGCCAGCAGAAGAAACTTGTGCCCTCGCCACTCCTGGCCACATGCCATCAGTCCTGACGGGGGAGCAGGCACCTGCTCTGATCACCTCTGTGTGATCCGCGTTGAAAAACCCCATTCAGGGCCAATGGGAGAGTGGCGAATCTGACATTTGTTTGTCAGACTTCACAGAAGGAGTGTGTGCAACCTGTGGGGGCTGGGGCTACTTTATTCGTAGCAACGCTAAGCCCTGCGCAGGGGTAACTGGTCTCAGGAGCCCTGCTCTCTCCCACTGAGGCCAGCAGCATCCCTGGCCTGTCTGGAACCCTGCCAGCCCCGCCTGTCCCTGCCTGACCACTGTGGAGCTGGCTCCCCACCCCCAAGCTCACCTGAGAAGGGTGAGGACAGGAAGGAGACAGAGGCCGGGGATTTGAGGGGAAAGTCCCAGAGGCCACGCAGGCCCATAGGAGCTGGCGAGGTGGACCTAGTTCTATAGTTCCTTCTCAGTGCGCCACATTCCTACCATGGAGTCCCCACGTGTTATGGTTTGGAGGTGAGGTGTCCCCCAAAAGCTCACATGTGAGACAACGCAAGAAGGTTCAGAGGAGACATGATTGGGTTGTGAGAGTCTTAACCCAATCAGTGATCTAATCTCCTGGAGGGATTAACTGGTAACTAAAGTGGTGGGGTGTGGCTGGAGGAGGTGGGAATTGGCGCATGGCTGTGGGTATATATTTGCATCTGGTGAGTGGAGTCTCTCTGCTTCCTGATCACCACGTGAGCTGCTTCCCCTTGCCACCCTCTCCCACCATGACGTTCAGCGTCACTTGGAGCCCAATCAATGGAGCCGACCTTCTGCAGACTAAGACTTCAAATAAAGTATTCCTTCTCTGCAGTTGGCATGCTCAGGTCCTTTAGTCACAGCGGTGGGAAAGCTGACTAAAACGCAGGTTCTCAGGGTAAACAGCTCATGCAGTTTCCCCCCAGTTTCAGGAAGCCCCCAGTGTGGTCAGAAAGGACGATTGGTGGTCCCCACACAGCCCTGCCTGAACTCAGGGGACATCTAAAGGCCTCTGCCGGTGTCTAGCACCCACCAGCTGGTACCTCCCTCAGGCCCCTCTGTCCCTCCATAGCCCATTCCAGCAGACCTGCCCACAGCTCCCAGCTGCCAGGGCCTGTCTGGCCTGGGTGCCCCCACTCCCAGGGCCCTGCAGATGTCACTTACCTCCGGATTGCAGCCTGTGCTCCAGGGTTCACATGGGGCTCACGTTTCTGTGAAGCTTGCCTGGCTGGCCTGAGACCACTGGATCCCCAGGTCTCCCACACCCAAAGGACTCCAGCCCTCCACCCCTGAGTGAAGGCCACACCATGTCACCCCTCTCCTTGAAGCCATGGGCTGACCGAGGCCAGGGCTGACTGCTCTTCCCCAACCTCCCTGCCTCCCCCAGGCTGAGTCGTGGACACGGAATGGACCTGCACATGCCTTGGACCCAGGAAGTGATGGGAGGGTCTTCAAAGCTCATCCCCATCCTCCTTTTCCAGATAAGCAAAAAGATCAGCAAGGGGTGGTGACAGGCCAAGGTCACACTGGGATGAGGGGACGCATGGGGATCTGGACCCCAGCCTTGATCTCAGTGTCACTGCCTCACCAGCCCCAGTCCCTTCGCTCCTCACCAAAGGAGCTGCGTCTCAGGCCCCGACACCCATGTACCGAGGAGACTTGGGGAGAGGATGAAACAGAGAACTGGCGTCACGAGGTCTTAAATGCAAAATGTGAGAAGCAACAGAACCAGAGAAGAACCCGAGGGGCAGGAACATCACGGCATCCACACATTTGCAGTGTTGGTGTCATTTTGTTGTATTTTGAAAACAATCTTGAGAGGTAGGAATTATTGTCCCCTTTCATAAGAGAGGAAAATGAGGCCCAGATAGGGTTAGTGACTTGCTCAGGGTCACACAGTGACAATGGCATCACTGGTCCCCATCCCTGACTCCTTCTCCAGTGCCCTTCCCATCGGGCCTCTCTCTCTGGGAGCTGGTGCCATCAGGACTGTCAGTGATGCTGGCAAAGGGTCACCAGTGGTGGTGGGGTCTCCAGAAGCCATTTTCCCCAGATAAGTTAAGCCCTTCCTAGTCACACGCCAGGGCAGTGGCTCTTAGCAGGTTGCTTGCTGACCAGACTGAGGTCATCGTGTGTGTGTGTGTGTGTGTGTTTGTGTGTGTGTGTGTGTGTGTGTCTGTCTATCTGTCTGTCCGTCCGTCCTGGGACCAGTTCTGTCAGTTGCTCAACCTGAATCCTCCTTCTGCCCTCTGCTGGATGAATGGAAGAGGTGTCCCTCTCTGCATTGTCCCCTCTTCTTACAGCCATCCTGTGGTGCTCCTCCAGCTGCCTACCAAGGCCCTAGTTATGTCACCCTCCTGACATGAGGTTTGCGCTCTCACCAGGAGGTCCCTGAGCCAAGGCCAAGGGTACAGATGTCACACTTATCCCTGGTGCTATTCCGGTCACTGCAGGCTGATGGAATCCCTCATCCTTCACTGCGAGATTCCAGGACAGGGGTCTAGACATCGGAGGCCAACTTGGAGCCACGAGCGGAAGGCAGGCTCTGCAGGCCGTGGACCCCTGGCCTGAGGCTTCCTGGGTCCCATTCTACCTGCGCCTTCCTGGGCCACTTCTCCAGGTCGAGGTAGCTCTGAGTTGTCTTCACTGTGTCACAAGTGAGTCATTTTTTTTCCCAGTGGACAGAAGCCCTTTGGGGATGAGGAGGTGACCCCTTACTCTAAACCACAGCCCCTCCACCAGTGTCTGGTGGGTGAGAACCCTCCGCAGAGCTGGGGTTTCGAGCACCCCAGGATGGAGGACGGAGGCTGCTGGGTCCTCAGGACCATCTGGGAACTCAGACCTGAAGCCCAGGTGCAGGATCCTGGGGAGAGAGTCCTGAGTTCGGCTTCTGCAGAGGCTGGCCTTCAGCCAAGGGCTCTCGGCTTCCCAAGAGGGGCCAGCAGCAGGTGGCAGTGGTAGGGTGAGGGCTCTTCAGGCTTCTAGGGGGGCAGGGGCCAGCAGCTGCAGCAGGCAGAGGCCCCATCACAGGACACATGGCCAAATGGGAAGCTTTGGACAATTCTGGGATCTGCTAATACCAACCCCTTTGTGGACCCATCCCTTAGTCACTGTCCCTTCTCCTCTTCAGCATGGGACTGTTGGAACATCAGCTGCCTCAGGACTCATGAGCCCCAACTCTTGTCCCCACATGGATGGGGAAATTTGACGAGAACAGAGGACGCTGAGGACCCAGTGGCCCTGGGTGGAAAGAGGGCAGCTTTAGCTGTCCCCCTCCCCTCAGGACAGTCCCTGGTCTCCATTCCTCATCTGGCCTCCTAGTGTCCCCCTGGGAGAAGATTCCCATCCCGTCATTAAGTGGTCTCAAACTAAGCCGGCTTCCACAGGGGCTCTAGTCTTCTTGGTGGCTCTGCCCAGGCTCCAGCAGAATCATTGCACAGGCTGTAACCTGTAAGAGACGGAGAGATGGGGTGCAGGCCCTGCCAGAGCCCCTGAGCCCCGGAACCCTGGCTTTGCCTCATTCCTGCAAGGCCATCCCCTTAGGGTGATGCTAGGCCACCTCCTCCCTTGCCAGGTGCCTCATGGTCCTCTCGACTGGACACAGGATGAGGGACCCCTGCCCCCCTCCCGGGACTTGGGGTCACAGCCCCTGGCACAGTTACTCCCTGGAGAGGCTCAGAGGTGGCTCCACTTACTTCCCATGTGTCTCTTCTTCCAAAAGCCATAGACCATGACCATCATCACAGGCGCTGGGAGGAAGGTCAGCACGGCCACCAGCACGGTGGGGTCAGAGTCCGGGGGGGGAGGGCGGGGGGAGACCAGCTCCCCTGTGTGCTCGCTCGCTGCGCTAGAAAGGCCGGACCAGAAAGAAAGCACTTGCCTTCGCCTTTGTGGTCGACGCCTCCCGTCCTGGGGACCAGCTGAGGCAGAAGCTAGTGAGACACCCAGAGTTCCAGGGAGGGCGTCCCCAGGAGGAGGGGGCATCTCTCCACCTCAATGCCTCTCCTCTACTATGTCCCCAAATCTGACAATCTGGGAGGAGCAGGACACTAAGAGACTCCCAGTTGTGAGTGAAGGAATCAAGATTCTTACTCTCTTCGGTGACGGAGACCACCTCTTGTCCCCTTTCTCCTCTGGGTGGAGGCCAGCCTGCACCCCGTCGCCCGCAGCATTTCCATGTACATCAGCGAAACATTTTTGTCCTAAGAACTTTCCTTCCCCACTGGAGCTCTCTATGCCACCCACATCAGGCAGCGGTGCTTGTGACCAACAGTAGCTGGTGTCCACGCTCCGGCTCCCTCGACTTTCCCATAAGTGACACTGGATCCAGAGTCCCCCACCATATTAAGTTTTCACGTGGGCACGAGAGTAATGGGCACCTCCCCTTCCCTGTTCCTCTTCCCCACCCACACTCCAGTGTTCCAAACAAGATGTCAGTCTTTATCTCAGAGTCGGCTTCTGGGGGACCCATATTAAAGTATCCCCCATTTCCCACTTTCTGTCCCTTTACTCTAGCCTGGCACAGTGAGGCACGCCTGTTATCACAGTGTCTCAGGAGGCTGAGGCAGGAGGATCACAAGTTTGAGGCCAGCCTAGGTAACTTAGCAAGACCCTCAGCAACTTAATGAGACCCTGTCTCAAAATTAAAAATTAAAAAAAGGACTGAGGACGTAGATCAGTGGCAAAGCCTCCCTGGGTTCAATCTGCAAGGATTAAAAAAAAAAATACCTACTCCCTTCCTGTGTCCTTCCCTTCTACTGTCACCCAGACTCTTCAGGAGACTCGGTCCTGCTGCTCATCCCCACTGCCTTCCTTTATGTCCCCTCCAGTCACCCACCTCCCATAATAGCAGCAGTCCACACTGAGGTCCTGGGGAGCAAAAGGGGAAGGTCACCCTAATGTGGGTAGCATAGAGAGCTCCAGTGGGGATGTAACAACAGCTGCCCTGAGGTCTGTTCAGGGCCCACAAGCTGGGGTCACATGTAGGGAAATGTCACCCGACAGGTACCTGAATGAGGGTAATTGGTTGTGGCATATTCCCGTGGTGGGCGAGTGGCTGCTGTGGTACCCGGATGTGGTGGAGATGGATGTAGGGATGGCAGGAGAGGCTCTGGCATCACTGGGAGATACTGTCACCCGTGGGGGTCCCATGGTCTTTGTGGGTCCCGTGGTCTTCGTGGGTCCCGTGGTCTTTGTGGGTCCCCTGGTCTTCGTGGGTCCCGTGGTGATGGCTCTGGTACTGATGAAGCTGTAGCTGGTCACAGAGGTTGGCCCGGTGGTCCCTGAGGCAGTGGAGGGCAAGAGTCTGGCCAAGGTGAGGAGTCTAGGTATAAACAGGGTTGTGCTGGAAGTGGAAGAGGTGTCAGGGTCTGAGGTGGGTGCTGGTCCCGTCGTGAGAACCCGACCCTTGAGGATGTCCAGACGTGTGAGAGGAGAGCTCCTCTGAGTCGTGAGGGCTGCAGGACCAGAGAGGGAGGAATGTCAGGCCTAGCCAAGGGCCTTGGTGTGGGGAGCAGATTTTGGCAGCTCACACAGTTGTCCAGGTGCTGAAGGGAAGTCCTGTCCTCCTTGGCCCTGGGCCTAGGATTCTGAGTGTTTGCTCAGAGGGCAGTGTCAGGAAGGAGGCATAGCAAAGAAGGGAGAGACTTATGTGATCTCTTCAGCCTCCCCACTCAGGTCACCTGTTCCCAGGGGACAGCACCACCCGTTCCCACCTCTCTTGTCACTTCCCGGGCCCTCCTCATTCCTGTGGGTTAGAGAGATCTCTATAACATGATGTTGAACAGAGACAATTCCAGCTACCCCATAACTGTCCATTAAGGTCCAGAGATGAGGACAGGGGGGTATCAAGGGCCTCAAGTTCCAGAGAAAGCCACCAACAGCCAACACCTTCTGTGAGGGCTTAACAACACACACCAGGACTGATCCTGCTCCCCTCGCCCATCAACGCAGCTCTTTACCACCCCGTTTTCCCAAAGAAGTCTGGAGTTTGGATGGTGACGGGGAGAAGCCACCAAGCCTTGATCTGGTGGGTCTTGTTGAGTCTGCCTCATCAGAGACAATCAGAGAGAGGCTGCTGCACCCACCACTGTGCACAGAAAGGAGGCCTCCCCGAGGACCATGGTCACGGGCCAGATGGCTGAGCTTGAGCCATTTTTCTGGGTAAATGGAACCAGAAGCAGCAGCGTGGCTGAGGGTGGCATGGAAGAAGACCTGGTGCCCCACAGTTATGCTCAGCGGTAAAGACAACCCCAAAGAACCCTCTGAAAGCTCTCACGTTGGTGCCTTAGGAGAGCCGGCATGTGGACACCCACCTTGGAGAGGGTCTTAAAGGGTGGCAGAAAAATGACTGACAGCCAGCAGAGCCGACTTCTCCAATGGCCTGCTAAGTCTCACCAATTCCCTCTCTCATTCCTACTGCAGTACCCCAAATTTCCTCCAGGAGGCGCCCCACCATTCCAACCTCCCAAGAGGAGGCAGCAGACAAGGTGAGAGCATTTTCCCTGGTTCAGACCCAACAGGAAATGGGGATGCAGCCGCTGAGTTTGGGGACCAGGGAAGGGGGGATGGTAAATTTCACAACTGGCTGTTCTCTCCAGGCTCTTTGGGAGGCTCTTCACCCTTTCCTACCTTAGAAATGTGGGCGGGGGTGGCCTCACAGCTCGGTTCTTGGTGCTACCCTCCCAAGGGAGAGCTTTGTATCCCCCTGACTTGTTTTAAACACGTTTACTGAAATATAATTCACATTCCATACAATACACTTTAGAACATTCCCATCATCTCAGAAAGAAGCCCTTTAATCTCAAGTGGTCACCCCCAATCTCCTTCCTCTCCCCAGCCCTAAGTAACCACCAATGTACCTTCCATCACTGTGGATTTCTTCAGTCCTCTTGACTTTAAACAGTGCCCTTACAGAGACACTTTCAAGTATACACCCCAGCTGTCACCTGTCACTAGCACCCCAGGCTGACAGATTGGCTATCTGCTCTGTATCTGCACCTAGGCTTCTAGGAAGTATCTTAAACTTGGCATGATAAAATGGAGCTTTTCTACTATTTATTTATTTATTTATGGTACTGGGGATTGAACTCAGGGGCCCTCAACCACTGAACCACATCCCCAGCCCTATTTAGTATTTTTATTATTGACAGGGTCTCACTGAGCTGCTTACCACTTCGCTTTTGCTGAGGCTGCCTTTGAACTTGTGAACCTCCTGCCTCAAGCTGCTGAGATTACAGGCAAAATAGAGCTCTTGAGTTTTCTCCTAATTCTTCTTTCAGATTTACTAATTTCTGCTTCAGAATTACTCTACCCAGTAGGTGACACCATCTTCCAACTACTGATAAAATAGAAAAACTTGGAGTCATCCTTGATTTTTCTCTCCCTATTTTTTGGGGGGGACACTGATGATTGAACGCAGGGATGCTTTACCACTGAGCACATCCCCAGTCCTTTATTTTTTATTTTGAGACAGGTTCTTTTTAAGATGCTGAGGTTGGCTTTGAACTTGGTGATCCTCTAGCCTCAGCCTCCTGAGTTACTGGGATTACAGGTGCATCACCATGCCCAGCTTGATCATTTTCTTTTCCTCGCCTCCACTTGAGCAAATCCTGTCCTGCCTCCAAAACATACACTTGGGCAGAGAGTTTAAAAAACATAGATTTGAGCCCCTCCACTTCTCTCATCTCCAGCACCCACATCCCATTTCAGGCCACTGTGATTTCCAGCCAGACACCCACCGCAGTCTCTCTGGTTCTGCTCATATCCTTCCATCCTCAATAAACAGCCATCGTCATCTTAAAAACAAGCCACAACACATATATATTCCTACTGTACTTGGAATAAAACCCCAACTCCATGTCATGGAATTCAGGCTGCTCCTTGACTCTGCAGCATCAGATCCTGAATAAAAGCAGCCAAATATTATGAAATTTACTCTCCACCCCTCATTGCTCCCCTGACCCAACTGCCCCACATTCAATATGGACCAGCCACACAGGCCACGCTCCTTCTCACCTCAGGGACTTTGCTCATGTTTCTCTCTCCAGAGAAGGCCCTTCCAAGCACTCAGATGTCAACAGGCTGGAGGGGCCCCATCATTCAGGGTTCTGCTTGATGGCATCTGCTCAGGGAGGTGTCTTCTGATCCTCAGGACATCCCCTATCTCTGAGTTACTTTCTAGTTCATCACATTTCTTAGGGACATTTATTGTTACCTGAAATCATTTATCTGATGAGGTATTGTTACCTGGCCTCCCTCCTAGGGCAGGACTGTGGCTGGTTCTGCTCACCACTGTATTCCCAGAACCTAGAACAGTGCCTAAAACACATCATAGGGGCTCAGTGAATAGATGTTGAACAGAGGTCTGAAGAAAACAAAGCAGAGTCCTGGGTTCAAATCTCCTCTCTGCTGCCTGTTAATTCCGTGTCCCAGGGCAAGGTCAGAGCCATGGAGAGTTTTTTAGATCGCATTTTTTTCATCTTGTAAAATGAACTAGCCAGATATGGTGCATTCTGTGATCCCAGCGACACAGAAAGCTAAAGTAAGAGGATCATAAATTGGAGACCAGTCTCAGCAAATTAGTAAGAGAATCTCAAAACAATTTTTTTTTTTAAGTATCAGGGATGTAACTCAGTGGGAGAGCACTTGCCTAGCGTGTGTGAGGCCCTGGGTTCAATCCCCAGTAATATATATATATATATATGATGAATGGCTATTTATTTCCCAAATAAGTTCACTTTAGTCTTGGGGTAGGGGCTGTGGGGAGGAGGGTGCTGGGCATTGAACCCAGGGCACATATATATATCTCAACAATAATGCCCATAATCTGTTTATGGATTATGATTCCTATTCTGTTGGATGTTAGTGGAGGACACACACACACACACACACACACACACACACACACACACACACACACTCACACATGCGCACACACCGCATGTGCGCATGTGCGGGCCATCGCAGTGCCCTGGAAGGCCTGCTTACCTGGAGACACTTCCAGCTGGATGCCCATCATGGGGTAGAGGATCCCGGAGCTGTTGCGCATGCACCAATACCGGCCCGAGTCCTGGCGCTTGAGGGCCCCCATGGTGATGTTGACCACCTTGGCCTGGACGTCGTCTTGCAGCAGGTAACCCGGCCCCTTCACCCAGACCCGGGCAAATCCAGGCTCACACCTCCTCTTCCTGACCTTGCACCAAACCTTGCCCTCCACGCGGTTTTTGCGGCCCTTGTAGGAGCACTGCACAGACAGGGTCTCCCCTTCCAGGTGCTGCACTTTGTTGTACACGCTCTCAGCGGGGAGACCTGGGGAGACACAACCCGCTGAGCAAGGTCTGGAGAGAGAGGAGCTGAATGCACCTTGAACCTCCGCGCCCCAGCCAAAGGTGAAGGAGGGGCTCCGCTGCCCCTCCTCCACTCTAGAGCTCCCCCCTCTGATGCAGGAGATGCACAGGCCTGCCGACAGCTGGCTCCCCGTCTGTGGGGGAGGCTGACCTGTCCTTCAGGGAGTACCCAGGCTAATGCAGGAAATTCAGCCCTAATGTTGGGAGCTCCATCAGACACAGCCCCTCCTTCACGGTATTTTCTAGTCTTCAGGGATTCCTGGTCTTTTAGGAAAGACCCAGATGCCACCTCCATGAGACAGATGCTCATGCATAATGACAAGTCTTAAGTCTGGAAATTCAAAACACAAACCACTGAGGTAGATAAGAAAGTCCAATATTTGGGGGGAAAATGACGAGTAGCTATTTATTTCCCAAACAGGTTCATTTTAGTCTTGGAGTGGAGGCTGTGGGGAGGAGGGTGTGGGCATTGAACCCAGGGCCTCATGCATGCCAGGCAAGAGATCTACCGCTGAGCTACAACCCCACCCCCATTGCAGCCGCCTTTTAAATACCGTGTGACCTTCGTTCATTCTAAGTGGCATTTAATTTTTAAATATTCTAGTTACATAAAACCCAAAGACCAAGTATGCCCACATACGCAAATAAACTCTCAAGAATTTTGCAATTATTCACTGCTTGTTTACAATATCTTAAATACTGTGCCTGGAGAGAAAATGTGGTTTGAGTCCTTCATAATCCATGGTATGGTGGAGAGGACTTGGGACACAGGGAGGGCCTGTGTAAGTTCAGCATTTTCTCCTCTAACAGTTGCACCCCAGAACCTTACACACACACACACACACACACACATGCACACACACACACACACACTTATCTGAAGTAAGATAGAACAGAGAGTCAAAATGAGACATGGGTGAAAACCCTATTTTAACCGCTTAACTCTCTGAGCAGTTCATTTAGCATCTCTGTTTCTCCATCTGTCAAGTGAGAATAATGTCACTCCCCTCAAAGCCTGCTGTGAGAAAGATGCCCCATGGGAGTGCCTTGAACACAGTAAGTGCTCAATGCATGCACACTTCCTGCTCTCAAATGCAGGTTGTTCCAGCTTTCCCCAGAGGAGCCCAGAGCATGATGGTTAAGGGCCCAGAACCCCAGACATCTGTTCCAGTTTCCAACCCAACTGCCAAGCTGAGGCTCTGAGTAAACTAGTGCTTTCTCCAAACAACACTTTGACCCTTGAAAACTAAACACAACGATCCAACTCAGTTATTCAGCGAGGGAGCCTGGGACTTCCTAGCCCAGGAGAGAAACCCTCTGCCCAGGGGTGGTGCATTTTTGCCTACACTACCTCTCCTCTCACAGGAGGTGAGAGCAGACTTTGCCAACCCTCCCCATGCCCAGAACAGAACAGGAAGTGGTAATTTGGTCGCCTTGGCAGCAAGGGAGGCAGGAATGGGTGAGGCCCCTTCAAAGGCGTTAGTAGCCATGGCTGTGCGAGGCCTTCAGGGATTGGCTCCCTTCAGGACAGCACCAAGGGACCGGATGTCGCGTCAGCATTCCGAGAAAGAGTGAGTTCAAAGAGAATTTATGAAGCAATGGGCTCCTGTCAGTCACAACCTTCCTGACAGAGGCCAAGCAAAGAAGGCCAGGGGATCAAGGGTCCCTGGTTCTGGGTCCCAGGGGAGCCTAGGAACACAGGGGCCAATGAGAGGGTCCAAAGCTTCACCCCAGCTCCCGCATGAGGGCTTAGCTCTGCCTGGTGCCAGATATCAGGATGGAACATTCTTATGTGTCTGCCAAGGACCTACTAAGCCAACCCAACCTCCTACCCCTCCCCCAACTCACAAACATTCAGACAATTGGGCAAGGACAAGCAGAGCCCAGGGGACAGGAAAAGCTCAGCATCCCCCCCTCAAGTCAGCACCCCTCCATTCCTCTCACCTGAGGTGCAGTCCTGTAGCCATAGCAGCAGCAGCAGGAACATGGGGGCCATGCTCCATCAGATGGGCAGTCAGAGGCCCAGCAAGGGGCCAGGGCACCTGGGGGATCCAAGGTGAGGGCCCAGGCCGACGCAGGACGTGCCACCTGGGTCTACCAGGGAAGGACCTTGGGTTCTAAAAGTGAAGTTGCCCATTTAGGGAAGTGAGGGAGTGTGGGACCCACTGCCACCAGCAGACCGCAGGGGCCCAAGGAGCCTATCGCAAGAGCGGCACTGGTGGCTGTTTCCGCCCTCTTCCTCAGAACTTCAAGCAGGTGTGGCTGCTCCACCCAGTTGGGGGCCCCCAACACTGGGAGGGCTCACAGAATCAGACAGCTCGGCTGCCCTCCCTGGGTTTTCCCCGGAAACCGTCCCCTAATCAGAGGCAGGAGATCCAGGTAGAGGCTGCTGCACGGATTCTGGATCCTCTGGTACAGACTTTCCCGGAATCCTCCAGGCTGGGACGCAGGGACAGAGGCCTCTGGCTGAACCCTAGACACACATTCACGAGGAGCTCTTGCACACTCACTTACACTCACTCTCTTGCACACTCCCGTTCACTCGCTCATTCATTCATTGTTCCGTGGCCCCGCCTCTCCTCGCAGACTCCACCCGCATGTCATTTCTGTTCACTGGTGCAGATAACCTCTTCAGGCTCACGTGCAATCTTATTTTTGTCATGGGGAGGAAATGATGCAAATTGTAAGATTCAGAGAAGAACATTTGGGTTCGGGAAGAGGTTCCTGTGCTCTGATGCATGAGAGTACACGTGCGCTCTCTCTCTCTCTCTCTCTCTCTCTCTCTCACACACACACACAAACACACACACACACACACACACACACTGTCTCTCTTCCTCTCTCTGCCTCTACTCCAGTAATCTCTACTCACTAGCTCTCTCTAGACCCCCCACTCCCTCTTGCAGGCTTCCTAAAGACACCACAAGGCTTCCCCTCACCCTCCTCCTTTCCAAACAGCTCACCCCACAGCCCCTTCCTCCCCTGTCCTTTCCCTGCCAGCACACAGGCAGGCCCCCACAGCTTCCTGCCCCTGCCCTATCTCTCCTCCACAGGCGCCCGGCTCCAGATGAAATGACCCAGCATTTGGCCCATGACTCCACCCTTCACTTCGTCTCCCAGAAAGAGAACCAAAAGGATCGGCTCTGACATCCTGTAGCCATGTCATCTGCTCTGCTGGGTTGCAGGGACCAAGGTGGATCTCCAGGATCATGTGTCCTCCAGGTACCCACCTGGGCCACCTTGCTTCTCCTTACATGGGACTCAGCAGCAAGTCTCCAGCTTGCATGGCCCGAGTCTTAACCTGAGCTTGAACCCCCAGATCCCAAACCAAAGAATTTTTGTTTTTGCTGACTCCAAACTTTTACTGTCTGTTAACTCTCTCATTTATTAATCCATTTATTCTTCCAACCTCATTGCTGTTCCTGGGGTTAGGCACTGGGGGTACGGGAAGGAGATTCAGTTGTCACTTCAAACCTCCCGGCTAACAGGAGATGTGTTATATTTTCCTTACACATCCTGCCCTTCCCAATACCTTTTGCCAAGTCCTCAGACCCCTGGTTCAGAGGTTGTCTTTCTCTCCAACACACATGCTGTTTTCCTTCCATCAGGACAAGTGGCTTCAGGAGTGGGGGATGTCACGTACCTGAATCAATATTTCCACTAAGCCCCTAAGTCCTGCTCTGAGTGGGGCATTGTGACAAGTGTGACCATGGGGGTAGTTGTAAGTATTTATCAAAATCTCTAGAAGTTTGTATACATTAGATGTCTGTGTACAAAGTAATTTAACATAGCATTATTTTTTCTTTACATTTATTTTTCTGATCAAAAAATGTAAGGTCTAATATTATTATTAGAATATATAAATATAAAATAATCTTCACCCTTTTCAAGGGAAACTTCTTAGAGTTGGACAAACCCATTAGGACTCATATCCACTACCACGGTTGAGATAGAAAAGAGTTCCATCACCCCCAGAAGTTTCCCGGTGCCCCTCAAAAGCCAGCCCCGGCCAACACTGATCTGGTGCGTTTTTTCATACAGTTTTTTTTCTTCCGTGGAATGAAAATCATATAGTTTTCTTTAGATGAAATCCAATATATAAGTTTATGGATCATATTTTCATCATGTCAAAGAAATCTTTATTTAACCCAAGGTCACAAAGCTTTTTAACAGCTTTTTGAGATAAAATTCATATAATATGAAATCGACCCCTTGAGAGTGTACAGTTCTGATTTTTCAGGGACTTCTGGCAAGATGGCTTAGCAGAGGTGCCAGACGGCTTCCCACCCACAAAGAGGGACCTCAGCAAGGAATCAACAGTTTCTGACAAGAACATTTAGAGGAGAACGCTGGAGTGCCATGCGGATAATATGGAGAAGCTGTGGATCGTGGCCTTATAAAGAAGGGAGGGAAGTGCCTTGTGTCTTCCACGATAGGGAAAAGGCAAGCGGGAGGACCCCAGTGATCCCCACTGACGCCACAGACACCTGAGGTTTCACCCGGGGAGTCCTGAGCCCCGAACCCAGCTGGGGAGCTGACATGAGTGTCCACCTCTACCTTGGCCCAGAGAGGGAGCCCAGTCCATGCTGCACCTTCTTTCAACCTGGCTGATGCTGCATGGCGCCATTTTGAAGCTAACCCCCCCCCCCCCGCCCCCATGTCCCTAGCCCTGCTGCATGCCCCACACCACTCCCACTCTGGGCCTGCTGGAGGAGCTCCACCCCACATAACCCTCAGGATCTGACAGGTGCCCTGGGCCCACCAGAGCGGCTCTGACCCCACCCAGCCCCCAGAAACTGATGGGTGCCCCGTACCCACAGCAAAACACACCATGCCAGAGTCACAGGCACACCCACACCCACAGGCATCACTGATTTCAGAGGAGAAGCGGCAGGAGGACTATACCACCATGCCCACCCAGAACTGCCACCAACGTAGCCTACTCAGCAGCACCCAAGACACATCTCCAGGGGAAAAGTCTCACTACAACCTGTGGTTTTGGTAAGTGCATCCCAAAGACCTATGAGTCAAGGCTTGATCTCCAGCCCGTGGTGCCCCCGGAAGGTGGTGGGACCTCTAAGAGGTGGGGCCTGGTCCCCAAGTTATACTCTCAAAGGGGATATTGAGACCCAGGCCCTTCCTCTGTTTTTTCCCTTCTCAGCACCATGATGTGAGCAACTTCTGCCACACACTCCCCACCATGATGTACTGACTTGCCACAGGCTCAAAGGCCAAGGGACAAGTGATGAAGTTTCAAATCCTCTGAAACTGTGAGCCAAAATAAACCTTTCCTCCTTATAAGTTGTTTCTCTCCAGTATTTTGTCACAGTGATGGAAATCTGATTAATACACATACCAAAAACAAACAAACAAACAAAAATCCTATAAAACTGGTAGAGACAAGTGAGCCACCAGATATGCGAATATCAACTAAAGGATGTCCAAATTAAGAAAAAGCAAATTAACATGACTCCTCCAAAGAAAAGCAATAATTCTCTAGCAATAGATTTCCCCTTCCCCCAAAAAAAGAAATTGGAAAAAAATGTTTGAAAAATAATCCAAAATAATAATTGCAAATAAATGCAACAAAATATAAGCGAATCAGATAATTCAATAAAGTTCATGATCTGAGAGAAAAATTAGTGAAGACATCTGTATTATAAAAATGAACTAAACAGACATCTTGGAGCTGCAGAACTCAATAAGTGAAATGAAAGTATGATTGAAAAGCTCAACAAGAGACTACATCAAGCAAAAGGGAGAATTTCTGAACTCGAAGACTGGTCTTTAAAATAACACCAGCCAGACAAATAAATAAATAAAAGACAAAGAAAGCCTACAAAGTTTCTACAACACTATTAAGCAAACATTCACATTATAGGAGAAGGCATAGAATTATAGGGGAAGGGCATGAAAATTAATGAGACTTATTTTGTGACCTAATATATTGTCACAAGAAACTTTAGGGAAAAGGTATAGAAAAATGATTTAACAAAATAATGACTGAAATTTTCCCAAATCCTGAGAGAGAGAGAGAGAGAGAGAGAGAGAGAAATCCAGATCCAAGAAGCCCAAAGAACCCTAAACAGATTTGATGAGAAATATTCTCTTCAAGGTATACTATAATCAAAATTCCAGGACATTGACATTCTAAAAACAAAACCCAAAAATCAGATAAAATTATACATTAGACCAAGTGGACCTCACAGACATTTATAGAACATTTCATCCAACAGCTACAGAATACACATTTTTCTCATCAGCACATGAAATATCCCCCAGGGGGAAAAAAAAACACATAATAGGATACAAAATTAGTCTCAACTTTTTTAAAAAAAAATTTAAATCATACCATGTATCTTCTCTGAAAACAGTGGAACAAAACTAGAAATCACAGCAAGAGGAACTTGAAATTGTACAAATATATAGAAATTGTTTTTGAGTAATCAATAGGTCAACAAAGAAAAGGAAAATTTTAAATGTCTTGAAACAAAATAGAAACACAACATACCCAAACCTACAGGACACAGCAAAAACAGCACCATGTGGAAGTTTATAGCAATAAGCACCTACACCAAAAAATAAAAAATAAAAAGATTTCAAATAAACAACAATGCAATTCAAGGAACTGTAAAAGTAAAAACAAACTCAAAAGTAGTACCAGGAAAGAAAAACAATGATCAGAGCAGAAATAAATGAAATAAAGACTTTAAAACAATACAAAAGACAAGAAACAGAAGAGTAGGTTTTTCTTGAAAAAAAAAAGATAAACAAAATTTTTAAATCTTTTGATAAAGTCACCAAGAAAAAAAGAGACAAGACCCAAATAAATAAAATCAGGGATGAAAATGAAGACTTTACGACCAATACCACGGAAATACCAAGGACCTTAAGGATTGCTATGGACAACATAATCCAATAAATTAGAAAACCTAGAAGAAATAAATAAGTCTCAGACCTACAACCTTCCAAAATTGGACCCTAAAGGTATAGAAAACCTGAATGAGCCAATGACAAGTAACAAGGTTGAATCAGTAATAAAAAGGCTCTCAACAGGATGTGGAGAAAAGGGAACAAGTTTACACTGATTGGTGCTATTGCAAACTAGTCCAACCGCTATGGACATCAGTATAGAGGGTCCTCAAAGACTAGGCACGGAACCACCATGTGACCCAGCTATACCACTCCTCAGTATTTATCCTAAAGAATTAACGTCATCACACTCCAGTGATACATGCATACCCATATTTGTAGCAGCACAATCCACAATAATCTAACTATGGAACCAGCCTAGGTGCCCATCAACAGATGCATGGATTTTAAAAATGTGATATAGATAGATAGATAGATAGATAGATAGATAGATAGATAGATAATGTATATGCGTGCGCGCACACACACACACATATAATGGAATTTTATTCATCCATTAAGAAAAATGAAATTATGTCATTTGCAAGAAAATGGATGGAACTAGAGAACATTATGTTAAGCAAAATACACCAAACTCAAAAGGTTAAGAGTCCTGTTTTTTTCTCTCATATGTGGAAGCCAGAAAGGAAAAGGGAAAGGAAAAGAGGGGCTGGGGTTGTGGCTCAGTGGTAGAGTGCTTGCCTCAAATATATGAGGCACTGGGTTTGATTTCAGCACCACATATAAATAAATGAATAAAATGAAGGTCCAACAACTACTAAAAAAAAATTTTTTTTAAAGAAAGAAAAAAAAAAGGAAAAGAAAGGTGGGGGGGGGGGGGGGGGTGTCTCATGAACATTAAAGGGAGATCAGTAGAGGAAAGGGACCAAGGTAGAGAGGAAGAGGGGAAACGAAGTAACAATTGGCCAAATTATATTGTGTATTGTGTGCATACGAATATGTCATAACGAATCCAATCAGTAGGTACAAATATAATGCACCAATAAAAAAAATAAGAAGCAAAGTACACAGGTGCATGCCTATAATCTCAGCGGCTTGGGAGCCTATGGCAGGAGGGTCATGAGTTCAAAGCCAGCCTCAGCAACTTAGTGAAGTCCTAAGCTACTCAGTGAGACTCTGTCTCCAAATAAAATACAAAAAGCTGGTCGTGTAGGTCAGTGGTTAAATATCTCTGGGTTCTATCCCTGGTACCAAAAAAAAAAAAAAAAAATTGGAAAGAAATCTCTCAACAAATTGCACAAGTCAGTAGTTCTTAATATATTCACTAAGGTGTACAACCATCACCATGATCCAATGTTATTTTATTTACCTATTATTTATTCTTCTATTTTGCATTTTTTTAACTAGAGATTGAACCCAGGGGCGCTTAACCACTGAGCCACATCCCTAGACCTTTTTATTTTTTTATTTTGAGACAGGATCTCACCAAATTGCTTAGGGCCTCACTAAATTGCTGAGGCTGGCTTTGAACTTGAGATTCTCCTGCCTTAGCCTCCTAAGACACTGAGATTATAGACATGAGCCACAACACCAGTCCTCCAATTTTAGAACATTTTTATCACCCCTAAAACAAACCCCATGTCCGTCAGCAGTAACACTGTGTATTGGTTTCCTATTCCTGAGAATGGGATGGCAGGAAACTGATTTATGATCTCAAAAGTTCTGGAGGCAATAAATCTAAAACCAGTATCCCTAAACCAAGATTAAAGTGACAGGTGGGCGGTCCCTCCAGAGCTCTAGGGGAGAATCATTCCTTGCTTCTTGTAGCTTCCAGCGGCTGCAAGCATTCCTCAGCATGGGACTCTGTGATTCTAATCTTCAAAGCACACAGCTTCACACCTCTGCCCCATCTTCATATCTCCTCTGAATCTCCCTCTGAAATCTCCCTCTGCCTCCTCTTAGAAGGACACATGTGATTGCGTTTGTTTCCTATCCACATAATCCAGAATAATCTCCCCATCTCAAGATCCTTAACTTGTCTAGAGTGGTGGCACATGTGTACTCCCAGAGGCTGAGGCAGGAGGGTCACAGGTTCAAAGCCAGCCTCAGTAACTTACGAAGACCCCTTTCTCAAAATTTTAAAAATTTTAAAAAATGGCTGGGGATGTGGCCTAGTGATAAAGCGCCTCTGGCTAAGATCCTTAACTTAACAACATCAGCGTGTGATATTACCACACAGGTGATATTCACAGGTTCCAGAGATGAGGACATAGATAACATTACAGGACCATTTTTCTGTTTATGAAGTTCCCCATTCCTGCAGACCTAGGCAGCCATCAATCTACTTTCTTTCTTTCTTTTTTTAATAGATTCACCTCTTTTCAACATTTCATGAAAACATAATTTAACAATATATGTTCCTTGTGACTGGCTTCTCTCATTGAGCAAAATGTTTTTAAGGTTTCTCTATTTGCTGGACTAGTTATATAAACACTTCCTTTTAATGGATGGATCATAGTCTATTATGTGAGGATATTTTGTTTGTTTGTTCATTTATCAGTTGCCGGACATTTGATTTATTTCCATTCTTGAGCTATATGAGCATGTGCTCCTATAAGCATTAGTGAACAAGTTTTTGCGTAGACATGTGTTTTCATTTCTCTTTGCTGTATAGCCAAGAGTCATATGGCAACTCTATGTTTACCACTTTGAGAAAAAGAAAAATAGTTTTCCAAACTGATTGCACCATTTCTCCACACTGACTAGCAATGTATCAGGGGTCTAATTTCTCCAGAACCTTTCCAACATGTGCATCGTCTGTCCTTTTGTTGACAGTAACCCTGGTAGATGTGCAATACTAGCTTTTTGTTATTATTTGCACTCACTTAATAAGTACTGATGCTGAATAGCTTCGTGTACTTATTGCTTATTTGTATATCTTTGGAGAAATGTCTATTCAAATTTATTGCTCCCCTTACCCTCGCCCTACTGGTATTGAACCCATGCCTTCCAGCATGGTAGGCATGTCCCCTACCACTGAGCTACATCCCCAAACCCTTTTAAATTTTATTTTGAGACAAGGTCCTGCCAAGTTTCCCAGGCTGGCCTAGAATATGTGTTTCTCCTGCCTCAGCCTCCTGAGTAGCTGGGACTGCAGACATGGGCTCCCATGCCCAGTCCATTGCTCATTTTTAAATCGATTATTTTTATTTTCAGTCCTTGGGGGGAAAAAAAGTGGTGGCCCATCCTTCTGGGTTCCATTCTTTCACGTGGGAAATTCACTGTAGTTCACATTGGTGCTATTTTGAAGATATTTTCTGACTTCAGTTCTCAGGAGTTTAATCATAGTGTGTGATGTTGTGGATTTATTTGGGCTTATTCTACTAGAGGCTAAACCAGGGTCTGAGATCAGTAAGTGTCTATCTGTTGCCAAATACGGGAAGTTTTAAGGCATTTCTTTGAGTATTTTTCAGTCCTACTCTGGCTCTCCACTCTTTCTGGATCCCATGTGGCCTCTTGTTACTATCCTACAAATCACTGAGGTTATGTTCATTTTTTTTCTCTCCTTCTACTTTTTTTCTCTTGTTTCAGATTGGATCAGTTTTATTGGTCTATCTTCAAGTTCACTAATTCTACCCTCGGTCATTTCCACTCTCCTATGAAGCCCATCTAATAAGCTTCGCACTTTCATTTATATATTTTTAGTCCCCCAATTTCCTTCTGTTACTGTTATCGATTTCTAATTGAACTCTAAAAACCTCTTTTCAACATTTATTTGTTCTGGTTTGGTTTGGGGTTTGTTCTTCCTTTTTTATGATATAGAGTTTTATACTTTTGTCAAATCTCTCTGCCTTCTCTATGGCTCCTGCCTCTCTTCTATGCATCCCTGCACTTATGCAGTTATTTCTTTCTTCTTTGATATCTTCTTATTTAACATGTACTTCTTTAATCAATTTGAAGTTTATTTTATATTAGGGAGTGAAAAGGGGATAAAATTTAATGTTTTTCCAAATAGTTAGACACGCTCCTTTTCCATTTATTAAGTAAGTCATTGCTTTGGATGGCTGTCTTTGTGATCTACTGAATCTATCTACAAATTTGGACTGCTTCTGGCAAATTTTCCACCTTTATTCACTTCTAGGGCTTCCTTAGGCAGTGAAATCTTTTTTTTTCTCTTGGTACTGAGGCCAAAATCCTTTACCACTGAGTTACGTGCCCAGTCCTTTTTATTTTATTTTATTTTTTAATGTTATTGTTAGACAGGGTCTTGGTAAGCTGGTGAGGCTAGCCTCAAATTTACCATCCTGCTGCCTCAGCCTCCTGAACTGCTGGGATTACAGGCATGTGCCACACTTGGCTGGCAACGCAGTGAAATCTAGAGTGATTCACTGATCCTCAGGAACCAAGGGAATAAAAGATAATAGCTTGAGAAAAACTACCAAGTGCTATAAAAAAAGAGACAATAATATGAACAAATTTTTTTCCTCTTTTCTTTTCTTTTTTTTCAATACTGGGAATTGAACGCAGGGCCTGTGCATGCTGGGCAAGCTACTCTACCAGCAAATATCTTATAGAGAACAAACTGAGCTATCTGCTACAGAGGAAACCAAAGTCATGAGAAAATGAAAAAGTAAGCACAATCAATATTCTCAGAGAGAAAAATAACAAACATGAACAAGAAATTATGAAAAAAATTAGAGATATAGATTATGAAAAGGAAAATTGTTGAAATAAGGAAATTCATAAATGCAATGACCAGCAGGAAGAAAAATTGGGGATGGAAAGACAGAGTCAAGGAGCACTCCCCAGAGACAGTGGGAAGGAAGAAAGTGATGGGCAAATGTAAGGGAAATTTAAATTGTGGAGAATAGGATCAGAAATGTCAGTATCTCCTCAAAGAAGTTCCAGAGTAAGGGAAAAAAAAAAAGAGTACATGAAGGGGAGGAACTACTTCACAAATAATACTAAAATTAATAATACAGAATTAAAGAAATATATGACATTTAATGTATAATATATTTAATGTATTCAGAGAATTCCAAATAGGATGAATAATTAAATACCCTACATTAAGACACTTTGTAATAATTTCAAAGGAAAAAAATTATAAAAGTTTCCAGAGAGATAAAATGAATCAATTAAGACCAAGAAAAATAAAATGAATATCAGAATTTTCCATAACAACATTAGAGCTAAAAAGAAGATACGTAATGTAAAAAGTAATAATATGTGGAAAAATTTAAATAAAAATAACACTTTTAGATGTTAAGACATGGAACTTACCACAAGTTTGAAAATGGTAGTGAAAAGAATTAAGACAATTTTGAGGCCACAGATGGAAAGGTAAAAAGTTACAAAGTGTATCTCTTAGCATCTGAATTCATAAAGGTGTATTTTTATTTATTTCTCTTTTATCCCTTTGCTAAAGTTCTTTAAGTGATTCTCATTATTTCTGTACTGTGTAATTTGTCCCAATTTGTATAAATTTAATAAATCAAGGAAGGATTAAGTTCAGCAATATACAACTGAAAACCAGAGTGGTGGATTTAGTGCATGAGTGCTTATGTTTATGTATTACTTTTTAAAAAAAAATTTTTTTAAGTTGTAGACGAACACAAAATACCTTTATTTTATTTTTATGTGGTGCTGAGGATGGAACCCAGTGCCTCACACGTGCAAGGCATGTGCTCTACCACTGAGCCACAACCCCAGCCCCTATATATTACTTTTATTATCAAATTTCCAACAAAGCACAGAAGTAGAGATAGCATACATCTAACCCCTATGGACCATCGCTAGCTACATTTATTCTCACTTCCCACTTGTTTTTCCCCTGCAAGACCAAGCCATAGGTGGTGCTAAGTACTTCAGAGACTCCCAAAAAAGCACATGATTTCTAGTTACCTAGATTTGTGGTTCAGGCAACAAAGCTGGCAGTATTAATTAGATGTCTGAGATTCTGCAACTCAGTTGATCCCACCTGGGTATAAATCCTGAAGGAAGTTTCACATGAGAGAATAGGATGAAGGAGATCCATCACAGGAGTGTTTGCAACACGGAAAAGCGAAGGAAAAACTGCACATGAGCCAGGCATGGTGGCACACGCCTGTAATCCCAGTGGCTCGGGAGGCCGAGGCAGGTGGATTGCGAGTTCAAATTCAGCCTCAGCACCAGTGAGGTGCTAAGCAACTCAGTGAGACCCTGTCTCTAAATAAAATATAAAATAGGGCTGGGAATGTGGCTCAGTGGTCAAGTGCCCCTGAATTCAATCCCTTGTAACCTGCCCCTCCAAAACAAAACTGCACATGTCCAATGGATGGACACCCATCTGGCATGCACTAGGAGGGACGCATTCCATAGAATAAGCTGCAGCACTGAAAATCAGTGCCTGGGTATTGGAAGCACCCAGCCACCAGTGAAATCAGCACGTGAAAAGGGAGTAACACAATTGCTTTTGTGCAAGTTAAAAAATACAGTCACAGGAAAAAAAAAATACTGCATATTTTACATGCATTCAAAATCAAGTTTCCATCCCAAATGCATCAGAGGGGTTGCCTTGGTGGGGAGGCAGGTGAAATAGGAAAAGGGGTAAAAAGACTAAATTAAACAAATGAAGCAAAAATGGTGTCTGCACAGATAGGTGATGGTCATGTGGTGTGAGCCAAGCTACAGATGAGGAAACTTCTATACTTGACACCCCAAAACAGAAGGAAAAGGAGATGCATTGTGTTTCATATTCTGTGCTCTCTGGATGGTGTCCTTGTCCATGGCTGGCATTCAGGTAGTATGCAGTAGCTGTTCATGGAGGACACCCATTCTGAGTGGCCAGTGCCCAGGCTGTGCTGCATGTTAAATGTTTGAACTATGACGCTGGCCTTGTGTTGTTCTATGGATGGTATCTTGTTTGTAGGGCTTGGTTTTCTCTTTCAGGCTACGAGAATTCCTCACAGGACCAACAACAGAATATCAGACCCTGGTGGCCAGATCTTCTTTGTGGATGAATATTTGGGCTCCCATTGGGGGAGATTTGGGGCATTTTAATTGCGTCTGAGTTTTTTTTTCACCTTCTAGGACTTCTTCAGTTTCCAGTCTGCAGATCCCAGCCTTTGAAGTTTCAATTTTATGATTTATATTTAAGTCATTTTATCTCATTTAAGATACCTGGGTGAGAGGAGAGGAAGCCAAGGGAGACAGGTGTGCCATCTTGCTCAGTCGCCACGAGACATTTCAACCCAAGGGTTTGATCCAAGGTCCCGAGGAAGCAAACAGCTCTCCCAGTAACAGAGTCCACAAAGGATCCTGATGCCCAGCTGGGCAAGGAGACTGAAGGAGGGAGTCCTGGGAGAGGAGGAGCCCGTGTGGAGTAGGGGAAGATCTCAGCTGGGCCTTGCACAGAGTGGGATGCAGATAAACTTCCCATGGTTGGTCAGCTTGGAGGGAGGTCAGAGCCAGGAAAATGGATCGTAAAGTGCTCAAATCCAAGGTGAGGGTCACCCCTGATGAATTCAGCTACTGGAAGTTTTCTCCTGCTGGCTTTTTCTCACAGAGCTGTGGTGTTCAATGCTCATGGGAGTGTCCAGTAGGGGGCCAGGGGAAGGGAATAGGTATTGTTCCTGTATCCAGAGATGTGGCTGAATGGACCCAAAGTTCTGGGGCCTGGGCTGTGCTAGCAGAATCAGAGACCCCCATCATTACTGTCCCAGCCATGTCCTACGACCCTGAGGAAAGAAGGTGAGGAAGAAACTCATAAACTAAAGTGAATCCTTCCCTACCCCTCTTGGCTGCCCCTTTCTCTTAACCTGACCCGTTCCCTGATCTCCAATCCTTCTGCCTTTCTCCCTTCTACCTGCCTCCAGCCCTCCTCTTCTTTCCCCCAGTGCCTCCAATATTCTCTGCTCTTCTCCCTCTGAAGACAGAGACTGGGGAAGGGCCAGGGCATGAGCCTCCAGGAAAGCCTCTCTCGTTCCCTGAGGTTCATTCTTTAAGAAATAATGAGTATTTCAATTAGACTCAGCTGTGACTTTCCCCGGCCATCTTCGTCCATTGGACAGAAGCTGGCCCGGCTCCACGGCCACCCAACCAAACCCAGCTCACTCACCCGGGGTCGCCAGAAGCTCAGGAGCACACACAGGATGAAGAGCACCAGGCCCTTGGCCAGGAGGAGTCCATACTGCACTGAGAGCAGGAGCTCAGGGGACGCAGGGCCCGGGAAGGAGGAAGAGCCTGACTCCCTGGAGGAGGGGGAAGGAGGAGAGAACGTGGGCAGGGCGTCCTTGTCCCTCTGTCCCTGAGCTAGGATCCCTGTGGCTAGAGCCTAATTAGGTGCATAGGGATCCACCCTGAACTCACTGTGAAGGAACAAAGGACTCATGGGTGCAGACAGGGGCCACAGGGGTCTCTGAGCTGCAGAGGAGCCCTGGTCACAGGAAACCCAGGCTTATTGGATGGAAGGAAAGAGAAGAGCCAGGTGTCAAAGCTCAGCTGCTGGGATCCAGAGAGCCAGGGGAGCGGGCAGGCTCCCTAACCAGGTCAGACAGACAGGGCCAATAGGAGGGCCCAGAAACAAGAGGCAATGTGGCCAGACCACAAAGGCAGACCGCTGGGAGGAGGCAGGCCCCAGAATCAGAGCTCATGTACCAGTGCAGGGTCCATGGAGAGGGACTCTTGGGACCCAGACATCAGGGGGCCTGAGTCGTTGCCTTATCTCTGATCCTAAGTGGCTGGTCAGGCCCTGTAAACAGTCTCCGGGCCTCATTTCCTCAGCTGTGATATTTTGCCTGATCTCGGAGATGCTCTGCATCCGCCCTGGCCTGGGTGGGGCTGCCTGGGAGACAGGAGCACTTCCACTTCGCAGCACGGCCTCAGCCTTCCTGGGGCCACATCTCTTGCAACACCCAGTACTTCACAGGGTCCTTACTTTGCCAGTTGAAAGGTGCAAGATGGCAAGTTCTGGTTGACGTTTCTTGAATGTTTTAACAAGTGTGGACATCACTGTATGCCTACTGCCGTTCCCTCTTTAATAAATGCCTTTAATGTGCTTAGCCATTTTCCTTGGGGATGCCCGTCTTTGTATATTATAGACACTATTACCACATTCGTTTGAGACATTTTTAATTAATATTTTTCCCAGTCTGTTATCTGCTTGAGAAGTTTTCTCACGATGTTTTTCCATTGAATAATTGATTCCTCATTTTTGCCTTATAGTTTGTGCTTTTAATTTTTTTTTCCTAGATCCCAATTTTTTATTTTTATTTTTTGATTGACATGTAATAGTTGTACACATTTATGAAGTACAATGTGATATTTTGATTCATGTATATATTGGGTAGTGATTTAAAGCTTTGTGTAGAAGTCCTTCCTCACCTCTAGATCACCCAAATATTCATCTGTAGTATTTTTTTTCTATTAACTTAATCATTTCACTTTTCATGTATATGCAACTGGAATCCATCCAGAGTTCGTCTTTGTATATGGGTAGGAATCTACTTTTTTGTTCATTTTTTTCATTTTCAAATAGATTTTGCCAGTTATTTCAAGGATGTTTTCCAAATAATGGGCCCTTTGCTCCATTGGTTTGTATCACCTCCTTATTTTAAGTATGTTCCCTTTATATAGGCAGATCTGTCTGGAATTCTTTAGCCATTTATCAGTTCTGACCCAAGCACTGTGCTGCTATTAATAGTATCACAATATTTTGTAGGATAGAGCCTGTTCTCCATTTTTGCATTTTCATGGTAGACTTAGCAAGTCCTGTATCTTTATGTTTCTGTATAATTTTAGAGAAAATTTATCAAGTTCTTTTTAAAAATTAAACTAAAGTTGAGTTTGGAGTCACACTTATGGACTTTTTTAATTTGCAAGAAATAGAAATCTTTGTAATATTATTGTCTCATTCAAGATCATGTATTATTTCTCTTCACTCAGATCACCCACATCATTTATTAGCAATCAAAGATTGTTCCCCAAAGAGACCTTGGTTAAATTAATTCTCTATAGAAAGTTTAAAGCTTTTATTTCTGAAATGAATAGAATCTTTTTTTTTTTTTTTGGTACCAGGGATTGAACCCCAAGGGGTTTCTTAAACCCTGAGCTATATCCCCCGCCTTTTTTTTTTTTTTTTTAATTTTGAGATAGGGTCTCATTAAGTAGCTTAGGGCCTCATTAAATTGCTGAGGCTGGCTTTTAACCTGTGATGCTCCTGCCTTGGCCTTCCAAACAGCTGGGATTATGGTATGTATCACTGCACCAGCTAGTATCTTATTTTGATTAGATTTTTTCTAAGATTTTTTTTTCTTAGAATTACTTTTGATTTGGGTCAGTCGGTCTTACTACATCTGGCAGCCTCTTTCATGAAATCTAATAGTTTATTGATTCTCCCTATTTCTAGGTTAGACGATTTCATCATCTTCTGCATATTTGACAGTTTTGACACTTCTCTAATCTTCTTTCCTCTTACCTATCCTCCTTTCCTGGGAGCAGTGGCCAGGACCTCTAATACTAGACTAAACATTAGTGGCATCTATAAAAATCCTTTATTTGCATTTATACTTTCTCTACTCAGTAACATTTATTATAGTCATAAAATACAGTGACCAAGTTTTATCTTCCTATTTCTATTTAATTAAGAGTTTTCCTCAAGAATATGTTGAACCTTTTCAGCCTGGCACAGTGACACATACCTGTAATCCCAGTGGCTCGGAGGCTGAGGCAGGAGGATCACAGGTTCAAAGCCAGCCTCAGCAAAGGCAAGGTGCTAAGCAACTCAGTGAGACCCTGTCTCTAAATAAAATGCAAAATAAGGCTGGGGCTGTGGTTCAGTGTTTGAGTGCCCCTAAGTTCAGTCCCCAGTACCCACCTCCATAAAAAGAATATGTTGAACCTTTCCTAAGGCCTTTTCAACATTAGTTGATCTTTTCCCAGAGTTTACTAATTTGGTTCATTTACATTGATAGATTTTCTAAAGTTGAACAATCCTTTCAGTCCTGGAATAAACCCCTCCTGATCATAATCCACATATTCTTTTTCGTTACACTATTGAATTCACTCAGCAATGATTATCTTGATTTTGATTGTATGTTCATGGTGAACAGATAGTTTGATTTCTTCTATTTCCTGTAACCAGTTTTAATATTAAGATGACACTAGCATCTTCAAATGTTCTGAGCAGGCTTGGCTTCTTTTCTATTTTCTGCAACATCTTGTATAAAATATAAATCAAGTGTTTCTTAAAAGTCTGGTGATATCTACGAAATCATCTCAAATTTTCTTTGAAGACTATTTATCTAACGTTTCAGATTTTTTTCATATGTACTAATCTACTCAAATCTACTTTTTATTGTGTTACCCTTAGACTATTATAACTTAGAAATCTGTCTGCTCCTAGGATTTCAAACAAGAATTTATTCATTAAAATATCTTTGTAGACTGTGTAGTTATTTTCTTTTTTCTTCTCTTTGTTGTTTATTTTTATCTTTAATCATATGCAGAAATGTTATATGTGTGTATAGTAATATATAGTAATAAGTATATGCTATATATCTTTGTATCGTAATATTTTACCTTAAATTCTATTTTCATTAATATTAATATTATAATTAATATTAATATTACCACAATATTTTATTTCATGTAAGCCAACTTTTTAAAAACTTTTAGAATCTTTTCTTTTGTAAGTATATGTCTTACAGATAATATATTGGTGGGATTTTTTTTTTAATTCAAGAGCCTGACAGTCTGTGTCCTTATTTTGTAAGTTTAACCCACTTGCATTTATATTAGAACATATTTCTGCTTTCTTATTTCATTGTTTTTCCATTTAGTGTGATTTTTTTTTTAAAGTTGATTTTCTACTTTCCTTTGGATAGAGTGTCATTTTGCTGGTTTGAAGGGTCAACATTCTCCGATTGCAACCTTGAACTTGTGACTATCTCTACATTTTGCCTCTCCTGAGACAAGTAGGTAACGTCCTCCCGGGACCTCCTGGTCTCTCTGCCTCACCCCATGTCAACCTTGTCGGGAATGGTATTTTTAGTTGTCACGGATGTAGTTTCCCTTCCTCTTTATTTTGGTTCTCGTTGCCTTCTTTAAGGGCGAGAAAGGAGGCAGGGAGGGAAGGAAGGAACTTTACCAATGTGCTTGGTCACACTTCATCACCTCTTGCGGCATCTCTGGATTTGGGTTCTTGTCTAAATTTTAGAGTACTTCCTCCGAGAGCGTTTTCAGAGGGGATCTTTGTGTGTGGCAAACCTTCACAGATGGTGGAAGTCCCGAAGTTTCTGACTTCACACTGGAATGACGGTTTGGCTGGATGCAAAATCCTAAATCCAATGTTCTTTCTTCGATATTTAAAAAACATTACTCAATGGTCTTCTTACATCCAGTTTTCCTCTTAGGAAGTCTGATGTGAATCTAATGCTTGTTCCTTTGTTGGTGATCTGAATGCCTTCAGAATTTTCTGGTTTTGATGCTCTCCCATTTCACATAATGCATCTAGAGGTGTGTGTGTCTGTCTGTGGGCATGTCTCCTCCTTTCAATCTCAGATCTCTCCTTTTTCTATGATTCTGAGAAATTTATATTCATTCTTTCTTCAAATATTTCTCCCTTTCCATCTTGTCTTACTCACAGATCTACTTTTTATTGTGTTACTCTTAGACACTACTCACAGTGCTTAATGCCTACATGTTAGTACGTCTATTTTTCTCCTTCATGTCTCTTAACTTCTCTTTGATTATTTTTTTTAAATCTTCCCATCCTTTCCAAAAACTTTCTGTGAAAATTCCTCAACTTTTCTCCAACTCCAACTCAACCCCAACTCCAACTCACTCTCCAGAATAGTATTGCCATTTAGCTTTTTTTGATGGTTTTTGTCCTTGATTTGCAGTTTATGTCTTCTCCTACCCCTTGAGGTGGACTGATCATATTTACTGAGAGTTGTTGTATTGTTGGTTCCTGCAGTTGTGCTTTGGATGGGTTTTATTTGTGTTCGCCCTCTTGTAAAGTAGTAGTTCTTCTCAACTGACAAATTATTTTGGCTTGTGAATTAAGATTCTTTGGGGGTTCTCAGATATTCAGCCTTGCAGAGAACTGAAAGCTAAATCCTTTAGCCTGGTGAGTTTCAAAAGTGCTAAGTCCCAGAACACAGGGCCTCGGGCACCCGTTTGCTGCTATTCTTGCCCTCTGGTTAGGGTTTCACCTTTGAACTCGCTAAGCGATGCATCTTAATTCATTATCCTTCTGTCTTGGAGTTTGGAGGAGGAGGAGAGGGCTAGGGAGTCAGTGTTTACAGGTGATTGATTATCTATTTCCATCAATCTCTTATGCTTTTGCTGTGCCTCAAGGTCCACCAGGGCACCTGAGGGCTGTGACAGCCTATATCTCAGTGAAGGGACGCCCATGGTAGCCTCAATAACCCTGAGGGCAAGGGTCAAGAGCAGAGTTTTAAAATGATCTTTTTACCTTTTGCTAGCTGATATGTCCAGCCACCACTGCCCCCCAGGATGTAGCCACTGTCCGTATCCACCATGGACACATACCAACACAGCCTCCAGTTCCCGCTTTGAGGGGGTTCATTTTATCTCGTTCCAGAAATCCATGTTTAACTGTCATTTCTGCAGTTTCCCCTAAGTTAATGACCTGCCGCCTTCTCTCCATTCCTCTCTACCAACTGTGCATCTGGGTCTTGGGAACTCCTCTGCAGGAGGAGAATTCTTGGGTCTCCTCTCCCTGGTTCCAAAGACACAAGAGCTCTCTCCCTGGTCATCTTTTCCCAGGACTTTCCCTCCCAGGGAGACCCCAGACTTACCCCTGCTCAGAGCCATTGACGGAAGGGCTGGAGGTTCCCTCCGGAGAAGTGATCAGAGCTAAGGAGGACACAAAGAAGATGGTGTCTTCTCAGAGAACCAGAATTGTGGGTGAGATTAGATCCTAAGAACCGTAAGAGGAAGCAGAGAAGGGACAGAACCAGCTTCTCAGGGTCTCTCAGGGCAGGAGTAACTGGGCCTGAGATCTTTTTTTTTTTTTAATTGACATTTAAAAACATACAAATTTATGGAGTGCCTCGTGATGTTTCAATACATGTGTACAGTGTATAATGTTCAAAATCAAAGTCTACTCCTCAGATGCTTATCATTTCTTTATAGTGAAAACATTCAAAATCCTTTCTTCTAACTTTGTTTTAAAACAGTGCATTATCATTGTCTACTGTCACCCTATTGTGTAATAGAACACCAAAACTTCGTTCTCCTAACTATAACTTAATATCCATTAGTCAGAGTTCTCCAACCCTCCTTTCCCCATAGTCTCTCCAGCCTCTGGGAACCACCTCTCTCTCAACTTCCATCAGATGAACTTTTTAATAATCCACATATGAATGAGATCATATATAGTACTTGTCTCCCTCTGCCTGGATTATTTCACTTAAAATAATAGCCTTCAGTTACATCCACATTGCAAATGACAGGATTTCGTCCTTTTCATGGCCAAATAGTATTTCATTATGTATATGTACCACATTGTCTTTATCCAATCATCAGTTAATAGACCTTTAGTTTGTTTCCATTTCTTAGCTATTTTGAATAGTGCTGAAGTAAACATGGGAGTTCAGATGTTTCTTTGAAAGACTGATTTCATTTCCTTTGCATATATAGCAAGTAGTGGGATTGCTGGACTGTATGGAAGTTCTATTTTTTAATTTATTTTTTAGTTTTATGTGGATACAATATCTTTATTTTATTTTTATGTGGTGCTGACTATTGAACCCAGTGCCTCCCAGGTGCTAGGCAAGCACCCTACCACTTGAATTTCCCCAGCCCAGAAGTTCTATTTTTTTAATTGTTAAAGGAAGCTTCATACTATTTTCTACAACAGCTGTACTAATTTACACCCCGCCCCCAGTGCTGTGCAGGGGGTCCCTTTTCTCCACATCCTCAGTAGCACTTGTTTTGATAACAGTCATTCTTACTGGAGAGAGAGGTGATATCTCATTACAATTTTAATTTGCATTATCCTAATGATCACAATGCTGAGTATTTTTTTCTTTTTGGCCATTTATGTCTTCCTTGAGGAGGGAAAAATGTCTATGTGAACAGATCCTAAAATCTTTAAAACCACTGAAGTCAAATCCAAAGGGGAAGAATCTCTCCACAGGCTAGTGGGAAGTGAGGGGCGGGGCTGGGACACACAGGTGCAGGTCTCCAGTGCAGGACTCCCTCCGGGGGCACCCATCCGTCGTGGAAGAACACGGCTATTTTCATGAGTGGATCAGCTAGTGGGCGTTGATATCCCTGTGTCTTAATCCCTGAATCCACCAACCCAGACCACCCGGAGGGTGGAGCACCTGCCTGGTCCCTCCTTCTCTGAATTTGAGGCTCTCTAAGTTGCCTGGTCATCCCTCTTCCTTCCCCTGGCTGAGACCCCACACCTACCTGTCATTGTTGGGAGCCAGGTTATAGTCCCCACAGAGGAGACTGAGGCTATAAAGAAAAGGTAGAGGTCAGCGTGGGAGCCCAGAAGGGAAATGAGTTCTGGCCCCAAGCGGTTGAGGGGAACGAGGGGCCCAGAGATGGTTCTTTGGGACCCCTTAGGCCAGCTGTGACCTGCACTCAGGTCTGCACACCCCAGCTGTTGATGTGCCTGTGTAAGAGAGTCAGAAAGACACCCCAGGCTCCTGTCGCTCAAGCCCTGGACGTGCCTTCCCCCAGCTGGGTCCAGGACTGGCAGGGAGACCAGAGATGCAAACCCAGCTCTGGGGACAGGACTCCTTGCTCCCCCAGAGCAGAGCAGAAGGCCTGTCAGGAATGGGGGTGACAGAGGCATGGGACAGGGATTAGAAATCTTCCCCCCAGGTCCCTGGAGGAGGAGGCATTTCCTCGAGAAAAGTGCTCACCTGGAGACACCACCAGGGTGATGTTTCTGAAGGTGTTGATCAGGTTCTGGGACGAGTTGAAGCTTCCACACAAGTAGATGCCCAAGTCTTCCTCCCTCAACTGAGTCATGGTGACGATGAAGAAGCCAGCCTTGGGGTGGTCCCAGATTGTGTGTTGAGCATTTTCAACGGCTGTCAGAGGCTGGGAGGTGGTGACCAGCCTGGTGCACCTGCCAGGAGACCTCTGCCGACACCAGGTCTTCTGCACGTAGGGTCCTTCCTGGGGCGAGGACCAGCACTGCACCAACAGGGTCCCTCCCACCACTTCACGAAGCTCCTCAGGTGTGACCGTCAGTCCCCAGGAGCCTAGAGGAGGAGCCCTTCATCAGATCCCTGGCCAGACCCCACCACTCACACCGCGGCCCGGGAAAGGGGAGAGGAAAGGACTTCTGCACTCAGAGCATGTCCCCAGAGCCAGTCCTGTGGTCACAGAGCCAGCCCGCTCTGGGCCCCACCCTTGTCCTTCCTCCACTCAGCTCTGTGCTCACCACCTCCCACCTCACCTGGGACCAGCAGCACCAGGGCCACAGGGTGCATGAGCAGGCGCAGGCCTTCCCACGCCATGCCACCCACCCTGTCCCTGTTGGTGGAGGAGAAGAGAATCGGGAGGCCTTTGCGGAGAGGGAGTCAGAAGTTAAAGCTGACCCTGCTCAGCCTCTCTGGGCTGGACACACTGAAAGGTCAGTGCCTTGATTGGGGAAGTTATTGGCCTGGGAAGGCGGGTTCTGTGGGCACAGGGGCCTAGCCTGGATTGGGGGCCACCAACGGCAGAGTCTGTCTCTGGGCCTCCATACCTCAATCCTGCCCCTGAGGATCCGCCCTCTTGTGACCCAACTTCTTGTGCCTGCCGGCTCCACACCCTCCACTCCCTCTCGCCCCTGCGCTCTGGCTGGAAGGAGGTCTGAGAAGGCTGAGAAAACCGTGAATTAAGAGGCACTTCCTCTTGTCTCTCTCTCTCTCTGTGCTCCCTATAACTGGTCAGGGCCCTTGGAGCCATGCCCATAGTCCTGGTCATGTCCCCAGAGCAATGCGGTGACCTCATCCCAGGCACAGTGGAGTAATGGTGTGTTTTCACAGTAAGTTTTGGGGGGTACAGACTTCCATTCCAGGAGGTGTAAGTATGGTCTCCAGGAAGTGGGGAGGCAGGGAGCTGGGAGGAAAGGGACACCGAGAAAGGATCATCAGACAAGGGCCTGGGTCCCTTGCAGGAAGAGAGCAGGCAGGAGGCTCAGGACCATGTCAATCAGTGTTGGTCCGGTAAATACCTGAGTGGCCAGGAGGCTGAGGCAGGAGGATGGCAAATTCAAAGGCAGCCTCAGCAACTTAGTGAAGCCCTAAGCAACTCAGTGAGACCCTGTCTCTAAATAAAATATATAAAAGGGCTGGGAAAGTTGCTCAGTGGTTAAGGGCCCCTGGGTTCATTCCCCAGTACCAAAATAAATAAATAAATGCATGAAGGAAAAAATGAGGCCCAACTTGGAACTATGGAGCAACAGGATTATAGTCCAGAGTGTAAAGTGGATGACCCTGCGTCCATGCGGGTGTTACCAAGAGCTCCACCATGGTCTGAATGTAGTTCCCCCCAAATTCATGTGGAATGCTGATCCCGAATGGATTAGCTGCTCTTGGTGAAGGGTCCTCAGGGCCCCTCTCCAGCCTCTTCCCTCTTGCTGTGGAGGCTGATCTTAGAGCAGGGCAGTGATCTTACAGCTCAGCTGGATCTTTGAACCTCATCTTTGAACCCACATCCAGCATTTTGCCCTCTACCAAGCAGCCCCCTTCCACCCCAAATATGGTACCTCAAAATATGCCCTTTTGACATAGGGGATTCCTGGTAACTGAAGGCAGTTAAAAATCTACAGCTGCAGGAATTGTTCTCGGCCCTCCCTTTAGCTGCCTAGGAGCAGGGCATCAAATCCCCTTTGTCAAGGTGTCCCCTTGTTTTGGAGGAAAGATTTATCTTAGCTCTTGGTTTCAGAGGTTCAAGGTCGATGGCGCCATCGCTTTGGCTCTGAAGCCCGGCGGAGCATCATGGAGGAAGGGCATGGGGGAGGGGGAGCTGATCGGCTCATGGCCTCTGGGAAGCAGAGTGAGAGGAGGGGCCCAGGGGCACACCTCCAAGGACACACTTCCTCTTAGGGCCCACCTCCTACAGCTCCCAATTAATGCCCTCAAATTATTAATCCACCGAGGAAGGAAATCAGAGCCCCCATGATCCAATCACTTCCCCCAACCCCACCTCTGAACATGGCTGCATTGGGACCAAGCCTTCAGCAGGTGAACCTATGGGGAACAATCCAGATCCTCATAACACCCCCCTTACCAGAAAGAGAGGACACTCACCCCTGGAGAGAGCATTGACCCAGATAAGTTTGCATAAAGAGAACTTAACACAATAGCTCTTCCCCTTCCATGTCTTTCCCAATCACTTCCAAAGACTCAAAGCCCAAACCCCCTTCCACTGTTAAGATAGCATGTAAGCCGGTACGGTGGCTCACTCCTGTAGTCCCAGGCTAAGGCAGGAGGATTACAAATTTGAGGCCAGCCTCAGCAATTTAATATAACAAATAAATAAATAAAAAGGACTGGGGATGTAGATCCATGCCAAAGTCCTCTGGGTTCGATCCCCAGTATCAAAAAAAAAAAAAATCATATATAAGCCCCTGAGTCTAACTGCTTTTTTTTTGTTTTTGAGTTCTACTTCTTTCCTGTGAACTCCCATGCACATAAAATATGAATAAAATTGTTATCCTTTTTTCCTGTTGATTTGTCTGTTGCTACTTTAATTCACAGACCCTCAGACACCAACCTAAGAGGTAGAGAAACTTTCTCCACCCTGATGCTCCCCATCATTCATCCAAATGGACTGTATCAGGCTCAGGGATAAAGCAGGAGAGAGTCAGGGAAAGAAAAAAAAAAACTTGAGACACCAAAAAAAAAAAATAAGCCCTTTCTTTTGAGAAACAAAATTAAAAAATAAAAAAAAAATGTGTTTTTCCCTTTAAGAGGAAAATCTGCTTTAATTACGTGAAAACTATAATATAAGCAAAGTATGAACATGTATAAATTTATAATATAAACTCGGGTGCGAAAGTAAGTTGTATAATGAAAGTTTTAATCATTTACAAGCTAAATTTACAAGGAACTGAAAGCTTTGCTAGCTGACCAGTTATGTTGAGCAGAAGTCTATAAAATCAGCGGGTGACATTGCTTCCAGAGGTGACAGGACTGTCCTCTAGCTCCCTGTCCAAGCAGCAGCCACAGGCAGTGTCAGGGCTGACATGGGGTGAGGGTGAACACAGAGCTGGATTTTGATCTTCCGTTGATTTTCATGAAATGCAAAAGCCCTGTGGTCAGTGGCTATCACTTTGAACAGCACTGGGCCAGGTGACAGAGATGACTCAGACCACGCCCTGCCCACCCCATCCCACCCGCTATAAGGACCCACCTCTTTGCTGTGTGGTGTTTGTGAATGTCAAAACTGTGAAGTTATTGGAAGGTGTGTGAGAATATCTTCAGACATTGTCTAAAAGACAGAATCCAAATACCATTGTGCTTCAGATGGGGGAAGAACACCTTCAATAAGATCCCAACAATATAAATCAAAAAGGGAAAATGAATGGATTTAATTACATTGTTGAATGCAGGCTTTCCAGAGAACGTAGCCCCAGCAGAGCTGTCACGGAGGTGACACTTAAGGGTGTCCCAGAGGGAGACTGCATGGCCAGGAGTTATTGAGGAGTCTGGTTTGAGGCAGGCCCTTCAAAGGCGGGACTGGATTCAGACTGGGTAAGGATCGTGATCCCACCGTCCTATCCAAGGGTGCAGTGCCAGATTTTGAAGCAAGAGATTTAAAGAATCTTGGGCGGCCAACTCTCTCTGGGTGGGTCTTCCTGGAGCTTCCTGTAATGGACAATCAAACCATTTCCCTGGATAAGAAAACTCCCAGAGAAAAAAGTGATCCGAATAGCAAAGCTGTGTTACAGACGGCAAGGGGGTGGCTTGGGTACTCAGAGTCCAGATAGAACGTGGGCACAGATGGCTTCAATTTGAAAAACAAAAATGTGTTTTTCCAACATGGTCATTGTGGATGAACAGTCAGGGGAATGATTCCACAAGGACACCCTGATGACCCTGCCTGGGAACACATGGGCCACACCAGGCAAGGCCTGAACAGCAGCTTCTCTGAGGCATGGCAGGTGGCCCTGTGCTCCTCCTGGAACATAAGAGACCTGGAGGCCTGGGAGGCCATCTCCCAGTCACCTCCTGTCTCCCCTGGAGCAGGAGGCTTTTCCTGTCCCTCAGAAGAGAGCTGCAGGGGTAAGACCCCACAGCACAGCAGTAGGGTCTTCTGTGGTTTGGGGGATGGGACCAGGACCACGAGTAGCTGGCAGTGGCGGCTAATCTTCCTTTCATGGTCTATGTAAGTCATAAACTGAATCTGACTGTGGCTCATGGTACCTTCACTGACCAAATCAGTCCAGCCGTGGCCACAGCCTTATCTGCTCTTGGGTGTACTTAAAAGTAACAGGCTGAAAGAACAGGTTGGCAGTCTCAGACCTGACCCTGAAACTGAACCAGGGGTTATTACAAAAACAAAAACAGAACAGCCAAAGAAAGGAAATCCAATTTAAATGGTCAAAAATAGATGATACGCTTCTGGAAACATCCAAATGCTTACAAAGCCCCATCTCATTAATTATGAGACAAATGCTCGTTTTAAGGCCTGGAGAAGTCACTTTGAACATATTGGCTCAGCAGAACTAGCAGGTTGGACAACACTCACTATGGCCAGAGCGTACGCAGGGGAATCCTGGAGCCCTGCTACAGGAATGTAACGAGCCTGGCTTCTGCAGAACAATCTGGAATTTCTGTGTGGAATAAGCATGTGGAAATCCCACACCCGGGTCTCACTCCCAGAAATCTGCCATGGTTACTGTGTTTTGTGTCCGGTTAATGATACATTTGCTGCCTCGGATGAACTGCTGTTCAGGTCCTGGCTGGCGTGGCCCATGTGTTCTAAGATCATGTTTTGTATATTTTCTTCCTAAAAGCCATATTGATTTCGCCTTTTATCTTGGAGTCTGATTTGAATCAAGAGGGGAGAAAGCCTTTTTTCTTCCCCCTTGTGGATATCCAATCGACCAGTCAGTCTTCAATTTGAGGTCAGCACCATCTTTCCCACTAAATCAGAGACACCTGGGTGGCAGTCGAGTGGCCATACAGCTGTGGGTATTTCCCTGAACCCTCTATTCTGTTCCCTTGGTCTGTCTTGCTTTATGCCAACTGGGCATGTATTCTAGAAAAATTCTCATGTGGGCCCTTCAGCAATGTATTGTGTTGGGTGGGGGGGAGTAAATATTTTTAGTTGTTGATGGACATATACTTTTTATTTATTTTTCTGTGGTGCTGAGGATCGAACCCAGTGCCTCACACATGCTAGACAAGCACTGTACCACTGAGTCACAACCCCAGCCCAAATATATTTTAAAGTTTTGTTTTTCACTTTTCTGTTCTTTTGTGTATGTGAGAGATGGGTGTCTGACAGTAAGGAGTTGAGACAACTTAGGTGCCATCACTAGGGGAAATGAAAAAGTAAAATCTGATGTTTACATTATATGGAATCCTACAGAGTAGAAAAATATTTTTTGAAGCTTTATTTTTTCCATTTACTTTCTAAAACAATTTTATCAATGCATTATAATTATACATAACAGTGGAATTCATTATAACATATTTACACATGCACATAACATAATTTGTTCAATTTCATTCCCCAGTATCTTCTCTTTCCCTCCCCTCCAACCGCCTTGGGGTCCTGGGTCCCCTTCCTTTATTTTACTGGTCTCCCTTTTATTTTAAAAGGTTTTTTGTGTTATTGGTTTTTGGGGGATGGTATTTTGGTACTGGGGATTGAACTCAGGGGCACTTAACCACTGAGCCACACACTTAGCCTTTTTTATATTTCATTGAGACAGAGTCTTGATAAGTTGCTCAGTGCTTGCAAAGTTGCTGAGGCTGGCTTGGAACTCACGATCCTCCTGCCTTAGCCTCCCAAGCCATTGGGATTATAGGCATGCACCATCATGCCCAGCTTAAAGATTAAAATTTATATATGGCAACAAGGATAGTATCAGAAGCATAACAAAATATTGGATAAAAATGTATAAATATAGTAAATTTATAAATATAATTTACTGTCAAAAACATTAAATCATGACTTTCACACAAATAAAAATAAAGACAGATTAAGATCTTTATCTGGGGGTGTAGTTCAGTGGCAGAGTGTGTGCTTGATGTGAACAAGGCCCTGGATCCTCAGCACCAAAAAAAAAAAAAGTTTTTTATTTAACTCACTCAGTAACTCATGCCAGCAGATGCAATAACTTGTTTTTTAAAAAAGAAGTCAAGCCAGACACCATGGCACATATGCATCTCAGGAGACTAAGGCAGGAGGATCGTGAGTTCAAGGCCAGCCTCAGCAATTTAGCATGACCCTAAGTAACTCAGCAAGACCTTGTCTCTAAAAAGGGCTGGGAATATGGTTCAGTGTAAGAAAATATTTGTAATAAAATATACAAAACATGATAAAGTGCCCCTGAGTTCAATCTCTGGTACAATAAATAAATAAATAAAGTCAAAGTACAATTTATGTGATATAAAGAAATGTTGGAATGCATTGCACATGGAGACAAACTAGTCTTGATTTTATTTTTTCCCCCACAGCCGGGAAAGACAGCATAGAAATTTGAGAACAAAAATTTTATTAGTGCATTTCAATTACACAGAAGAATGGGTTCATTGTGGAACATTCATACATGCAGTGAACATACTTTGATCTATCCACCCCCTAACCTTCCCCTCTCCTCCTCTCCCCCTGGGTCCCTTTCTCCTCTAACAGTCTCCCTACTGCTCTCCTGTCTGTTGTCTTTTCCTCCTAGATTCCACTTGACCATCAACTGCTATTGACAGAGTCACAAAGCCACTCTCATGGTGACAGATGACACAAGGATGGTGTGCAAGATGGGTATGCAGGACAGCTTTTCTTTTGATTTGCAGGTTTTTTAATACAGTTGAGTGAAATTTGTCTGAAAATAAAGCCACAAAATTAATTCTATAAATGTTCAAGGATCTACATAAGTGTAAGTAAGTCTAGGAAAGTGGATTGAAAAGATGTACAGAATAAAGATGCCAAGGAGGGGGGAACGGGCAGAGTGGAGCCAGAGGGTGAAGGTGGGAAATATTTAAAAACACATTAAACTGAACAAGTGCAAATAATTTCCACAGGTAAATGAAGGCCCTGAAATAAGGAGTATGCTGACTCCGTTTTGGGCGCTTGAAGGTCATGAAAAAAGACAAAAACCGCTAAAGCCGAAACAGCACTTTGTGTGCACCTCTAGTCCCAGCTACTCGGGAGGCTGAGGCAGGAGGATAGCTTGAGCCCAGGAGTTTGGAGTCGGCTGGCAAAATGTGGCAAGACCTCATCTCAAAAAAAAAAAAAAAAAAAATCTAAAACAGAGCACATTCACCTGCACTAAAATTAACCTTCCCATGGGGCTGGGGCTGTAGCTCAGTGGTAGAGCGCCTGCCTTGCCTACCTTGCATGTGTGAGGCACTGGGTTCGATCCTCAGCACCACAGAAAAACAAATTAAAAAGGGGTATTGTGTCCAACTACAACTAAAAAAATTAAATAGATACTATTTTAAAAAAAAAGAAAAGAAAGAAATTTACCTTCCCATCTTCCTGCAGGTAGGTGTTCCTTTATTGTGTGACTGAGAGGGCAGAGGGCCAGCCTGGGAAAGGAACTGGGTTCTCCCCAAGTGCACAGCACGTAGGAGAAGAGGAGATTCCACACTTGCCAGCAAACCCTGAGTCAAGTGCCAAACATCTGGCTCTGTTCCCAGCAAATTTCAGTAGAAGGAATGGTTGGGCTGAGGGAGCCTGGACAGGAGACAGACCAGGACACTTGACAGATGGACAGTCCTAAGCCAGCAAGGGGCTTTAGGTCAAGGCGATAGATGAGATGATCGCTTCCCTTCAAGCCCCAAAGAGGACTCCAGTCCTTGAAGACTGGCCTCTATCCTAAAAGACCTGCCCTTGGCTCCAAAAGCAATCATTTCCAGTTTTACAAGTTTTCAAAAACTTTGGGGATGCTAAAATGGAACAATTTTCACTGACGTGACCACCTTGGAAGCTGAATTTTGCCACGTCACTGACTGATTAGCGATCATGTGGGTGCCCCAGGAATAGATTAAAGAAGACTGGTGATAAACAGAAGTCATTTTCTCAGACACCACGAAGTTTCCAAGAAAAGTGTCATAAATCCTGGAACAGGAAAAGTAGGAATTCGTCCTCTGCATCTGTCTCTTTTTATGCCTCCAGGGTTATATATCACATTGTGCCCAATGTGCTATTTTGGGTAACTGGGACCTTGCTATTATGACTTTTATAAATGAACAATAGTGTTTATTTGGCATAATAAGACTGAGAGTGGATGTTTATTTTCCATTTAATTATATTTGTCTTTCATTGACCATACAAGAAACAATAAAACTCTGAAGTTTGAACTATCTTTTTGTCCATTTCAACTGCAATTGTTTTGGGTGCTTGCTGTGGACTTGACTTTCATTCTCACCCCCTCTCATGGGCTTTTCTTCAGCCAACAGTCTGCAAAATCATTTCTCACACTCACTGGCAGCTGGGCTTCCAGATATTTTGGACTCCACCCACCAAACACATTCACACGAGACTAAAGTTTGGGGCCAAGTTAACTGGGAAGGAAGGCACACATTTTGCCAGCAAACCCTGAGTCAAGTCTGCACTGTTTCTACAGCCAGTGCTGTGCCAGCAGGTTCCTGTTGGGGGAAATTTCCAGATTCCTCTAATGCCAGGCTGGTAGCCCCTTAATAGTCCCATGCTGTAGTGCGGCTGTGGGAGTCATTCCCAGATCTGATGGTTGGATCTGATGCTGTAAACCATTTAATACTCTATTTTTTAAAATCCCCTTCTAGGAGCTGGGATTATGGCTCAGTGGTAGAGCGCTCACCTAGCACCGGCAAGGCCTTGGGTTCAATGTTCAACACCATATAAAAATAAATGAATAAATAAATATAAAGATATTGTGTCCAACTACAACTAAAAAAAAAAAAAAAACATGTATTAAAAAAAAATCCTCTTCTAATTGTGAGTTCAAAGCCAGCCTCTGCAACTTAGAGAGGCCCTAAACAATTTAGGGAGACTCTGTCTCTGAATAAAATATTAAAAAGGACTGGGGATGTGGCTCAGTAATTAAGCACCTCTGGGTTCAATTCCCAGTACCAAAATAAATAAGTAAAAATCCCCTTCTACTTAAAATAAGTAGACTGTATTTTGTTGTCTTCAAGTGAACATTAACTCATGCAAGCCCTAAGAAAATAGATGCTGTGTTCCAGATCAGTGGGGACTGGTGGGCAGCAAAGCAGGGAGGGAGCAAAACTCTTTTTCTGTTGCTGTTGCTTTAACCCTTATTACCCTCAAGGGCATGAAGTTGTGAAGAGGATTCAGGAGACAGCTGTTGGTCTGCTGTGATCCTTGGGGATCGGGGAGTGGACACATCCCTTACCTCAAGCCCAGGGAGACAAGCTTCAATGTCAGGACTTGGAGAGCTTGTCCAGTGTCCCCTGCAGTTTGGAAGAGGCAGCCACTATGTCTGACTCAACTCTAAAACTGACAGGCAGGGGCAGCAGGTGATGAGCTAGTCTGATGGTAGCTGTACGGGAGCCACCAGGGCCACGTGAGACTCGTGGGTGAGTGTTCCCCGAGGACTGGATGTCACTACACATCTGTGAGGCAATGGGCTCAGGTTGTTGCTATTAATCTTGCCCAAAGAGGCTGCCTGGTACTGCAGATGTCCACAGAAGAAAATAAGAAGTGGATTGTAAAGGGCTTGGGGGCCAAAGGAGGAGCAGGAGCAGCTGGCCAGGAAAGAGACACATGTGCCTGTCTAGGACTCTACAGGTGAAAGAGCCCACAGCAGCGCCCTATGAAGGAACCCCAGCTCAAACCCCATGGGGCACAGGAAGACCTCCCCTCTCCTTCCTCCTCTCTCCCCTGCTCCAGCCTGGCTTCCCCACGCCGCAGCTGGCAGGTGGAGATGGCAAAGCAAAGGAAGCAAGCCAGCCTGTCCCTTCTGTCCCTTGAGGGGCTCAGATCCAAGGGTCTGGGAAGGAAGCTTCACTTTAAAATGGACTCCTCCTTCCCTGTGCTAATTACTGAAGCTTCTTTCAGAATAAACTTTTTTTTTTTTTTTTGGCTTAAAAATGACCAGAAGGGAAGGATGAATAGGTGGAGAATTTCAGGGACAGAGAAGCTCATCCATGGGATATAATGGTGGGTACATGCCATTAAGGCACAGAGCCAAGGGAGAACCCAATGAGGACCACGGACCTCGGCAGTCCATGTAGGTCCATTGGCCGTAACAAATGCACTTCTCTGAGGGGGTCCTTGAGAGTGGGGAAAGTTGAGGGGGGACAGCATGGAAGCATATGGGAACTCTGCAATTTCTCCTCAATTTTGCTGTGAACCCAAAACTGCTCTGGAAATAAGTTTATTTTAAAAAAAAATGCCAGCAGAGTGAGGGTCTTGGTGTAAGTTTCACCCAAGGTCCAGAAAGTCCCCAGCAGGACTTCTGGAGGGCTGTAGGGGGAGGGATGCAAGGTCCTTAGGGGAACTCTTCTCTGTGAGTCCCAGTTGCTCTATTCAAGGCCCAAATCCCTTGCTGTCCCGTGGTCCCTGCTGATGTCTCTGCTAATAGCTCCTTCCACCTCTGGGAGGGACAGGTGCTGAGCAGAGAGCTCACAGCGGGACTTCAGGAAGCCTTCCATTTTCCCTTGAACTGTGCATGGAGTGTGCTGTCACTAGGGCAGGAAGGCGAATGGGTGGCCTCCGGAGAGGAGGTTTCCCTGGGGTCCATTGTGCTGAGGATACCTGAGCAGCAAGAGAGATGAACAGCATTTGGAAATGACCATTCAAGCCAGCCCAGGCCTGAGTCCAGCCTCCCTGAGGAAAGGGGCTGCTTACCTCCTGTCAGTTCCTCCCATCCTGTGGGACCCGCTCAGCCCGCTTGGCATCGATCCCAGCATCTTGGCCCACGCCTGGCACTGTCCCAGGGGCTGGCCCTGCCCCCTGACCAAAGACCTTCTGAGAAGAGAAATCAGGGCACAGGGGCTGGGAACCCCACCCTCCCCAGCATCTGGAGCAGGTGTCTCGGTCCTGCCTTCATTTCACCTTAAGTCTGGCCACGTACCTGAGGCCTGGGCTTCCGGAGAAAGACAAACAGGACTGAGAACACCAGGCCCTTGTTCAAGATGATTCCGCAGGTCACAAAAATCAGAGCAGGAACACCAGGCAGCTCCAGAAGTCCTGCAGGTCAAAGGCAAGCGTGACTCCCTCTACCTGACCCTCCTGGACCCAAAGGGTGAGTGTCTGTTAAGTGGACAGCTCTGAAGGCCCCTGCGTCCCACCTCTTGGCTACGAGAGCCGCCAAGCAGGTTTTTATACCCTGTGCAGATGAGGTCTCCACCTTCCCCAGCCTCCACCCTGCTCTCACCCCCGCCCCCACCCCCCCCCCCCCCCCACCTCCTGCACACAGCTGCCCTGTGCTGATCTCCCTTTCCACCAAGGAGCCCAAGGAGGCCCTTCGTGTTTCCAGTTACCTACAGCCCAAAGGGCATGACTGCCAGACGTTCAAGGCTCCCTGTGACCTGAATGTGTTGTCCTGCTTGACCTCACCCATTTGCTCCACTCCACTCAGTCCTCGGGCTTTGTAGAGGGCACATCTCCTGTGCGTCTCCACCCCCTGCTCCCTCTTCTCTCCAACATCAGACCCCACCTCCCTTCTGCCCTTTCTAACTCCTCTGTCACCTTTGAGGTTTCTGGCTCCACCCCACCCAGGGCTCTGAGGGTCTCTGCTCGTGGGGTGCTTAGAGCTGCTCTGTAAGGAAGGGCTTCTCTCACGCCTTCCTTAGCTCCAAGTCAGAGTCTTCCGATTGCTCAGACTGCACTAGCCAGGAGGCCACCCCTCCTAGGTGCAGCCCCTTGTCCACAGGGGTACCGAAGCCCAAAGCCCTTTGACCTTAGCTCCTCTGACCCCCCTCCCTCTGGGGCTGCTGGATAGACTAGCACCCAAGGCTTGGGTGGGGCCTTGGGATAGAAATCTAAATGAAGGTCATTCTTCCTGCTTGTGTTCAGGACCCCCTGGCAGCCCTCTGGGTGGTCCAGCCTGACCCTCTGGAGTCCACAAGTGTGTGTGTGTGGGGGTGAGCCCAGGGCCCCAGCTAAGCTCAGGGTGTGCCTCTGCCCTGCTTCGGTCTCTGCAGTGATCCCCAGCACACACAACTTACAGCAAATCTGGACTCTCTGGGGGTTGGTTCTGTCTGGTGCGGACCATGCTCTGGAAGAGATCAAAGCTCTTCAGGGTCTTGACTGAGACCTGGCCCCTACTAGGTGGCCAGGCGATGATTGACAAAGATGGGGCAGCATACCCTGAGCTGTCCACCCAGCCTGGCTGACTTCCTCTGAGCTGGGGAGGGACCTCCAAGGTGTTTGGAACAGCTTTCTTCTCCTACAGGCTGAGCCACTGTTCCACGGAGCTACACTGGTTGGGGGAAAAGGTTCACAGAGTCCCAGAAGGCCAAAGGTAGGGGGGTTCAACACCACCAATCCACCCTCCCAAGGAGCAGGGTGGACAGGGGGTGTCCACAGTCACATAGTGGAGAGCAACAGAGCCAGCCCCCAGGCCCGGGCCTCCCAACCCTGTGCCTGTGTATGCGTGTGACACCCTGCTGCTCTCAGCCTTCAGAGCCTCATCCAGGGCACCTGGCCAGTTCTTCAGCTCTCAGCCCCTCCCCCACTCAGCCCATCACAGTCCAGCCAACCCACACCCCACGCCCAGAACCTCCTCCTGGACTTACTTCCGGTTGGTGATGGATCTTGTCCATCAGGGAGGGCAGGGAGCTCTCTCCTCATGCCCTCTGCAGCCCACCTTTCTCTCCCCTCAAATCCCCACACCATATTCACTTCCCAAGTGGGGTTGGTGGGACAGCATCCATCACCTCCCAACAGCCTCACATTACGTAGGTTTCTTTCCGAGCTCAGTCACTGCTGTGTCCTCCCCCACCTCACAAGCTGAAGAATAAATAGAGAAGCCATCTCCACTGTCCATGGAGGAGTGTCCTTTAGGCGGGCTCAACAGCATGCCAGAAAGAAACCCCCAACTATTTATTTAACCTAGCTGAACAAAAACCCAGTCCCTGACTCTCTTACGATCTCCAAACAACCTCAGCGATCACTACAGGTGTCCTTTGTGGAGGCTTCTATCTTTTTTCCACTGCAATTCCTCTAGGCAAGGACAATCTGTGCAAGATGTCATTTCCATCACCACATTAGCCTAAAGTTTCCTTAATTACTGGAGAGAAGGAATGCAAAGCTGCTATCAAAATGTTACTCCGTGTTATTTATGGTTTAAGGGAAATAATTATGTTTTGGTTTATCCTGTGTTAAGCTTGATACAGTTCTTATTGACTAGCATGGGCTCAGTCACTCTCAATCACTTCTCCAGTCTTAATATTAAGGTTTGAGTTAGCCAGGCACGATGGCTCTCACCATAATCCCAGCCACTCAGGAGATTGGGGCAGGAGAATTGCAAATTTGAGACAAGCCTGAGCAACTCAGTGAGACCCTGTCTCAAAATAAAATAATAGGGTTGGGGATGTAGCTCAGTGGCAGGGTGCTTGACTATTATGCACTAAGCCCTGGGTTTGACCCCCCAGAGCTGAAAAAAAAAAGTTAAAAGGACAGCAATCCACCCACTGGCACCTAGAGCCGCCAACTTTGCCAAGTGTGAATGTAGGGCCCTTGTGTCTCCTACCTCAATAAATACAGAGGAACCCAAACACTGGAGCCACTGAGTATCACAGTGAAGAAGCCCCACCAGTTTACTACAGCCTAGAAATAGTGTGGGACTTGCCCAAGCTCACTAGGTATATTCAAGTCAAAGAAGGATCCAGAACCTTCTGTCACCAGGCAATCTGCAATGGTCACACTTCCCTTGTAAAGACTGTAGTTTCAGTTCTTTGACAGTTTTCAAGGACTACGGCCGAAATAATAAAATATTCCTGAGTCTAGGGCAATGGAGCTGCTTAACTATGAGAACCCTTTGTTAACTATTGGGGCATGCTCCAAGCTTTGAGGAATTGTTTGACTCTGTTCCTGAGGTTCTACCTGCAATGCCCTCCCTTTGCCTGCTAACTCTATTTACAGATCCTAAGACGTGTGACTTGGACCCAATCCTGTCCTGAGAGTCATATGTTCAGGCTGGCAGAAGAGCAAGACCCCATGGTGGTGGAGGCCACCCAAACCACAGCTCCAAAGGAGGTCACTTGAGAAGGTTGAGGCAAAAGCGTTGGACACCCCCTCCCATGCCATGTCCCCATGTGGGCTGACAGGCTTTTTAACAAAGGGGTGTCCTCGCCAACAAGAAGCAACTAAAGGGCGGTGAAAGGCCCTTCACTGTGCTCTCTACTACTTTTTAAGTCCATTGAGAAAAGGGACAGTGCCTTACTGTCAAACTGAGCCCATTTCACAGATTCTCCAGGGACAAGAAAATCGAGTGAGTCCTGTGGGGGCCCAGCTGCTCCACCTGTCTGCCAAAGGACCAGGTGAGTTACCCTCTGGAGTGTCCCCTCACACTGAGAGACAGCAGCTCTCCCAGACCAGCCTGGCACCTCGCAAGTCCCAGTTGCCAGTTTCCCACAGAGTCTGGTGGTGTTTTCGTTCACCTCGTCCAACTTCCTTGTTTCACAGGTGAGAAAACTGAGGCCCAGAGAGGAGTTGTGTTTCTGAGTCTCAAAGTCACAAAGCAAGAGAATGGAAGGCCCAGGTGCCCTGACTTCGGGTCTGGAATTTCCCCGTTACTCTCTGGGCAGCAAGCCTTCGTGGTGGATAGGGTCCCAGCCCACCCTCTGTGCCTGAGGAGACCCTCCCCTGGGAGTCCTGGGTCTCCCTGATGCTCACCACTGCACTGTACTAGCCGAATCCGATGGTGCAGGATGACTAGGTTCTGAGAAGTGAGGTGGATCACGCACTGGTACAGCCCCGCGTCCCCCCTCTGGAGCCCGGTCATGGTGACTTTGATGATGGCTTCAGTGGGATAATCCTCCAGCAGGTACCTCCCAGCCTGGGCCAGGTTTAGGTCTGCATTTCTAGTCTCCGTGATCACCAGAGTCTCCAGGCGGCCGTCGCTCCTCACCCGCTGCCAGGCCTTCAGGCTGAAGGCGTACTTGTTGATGTTGTAAGGACAGGTCACGGTCAGGTTCCTGCCCTCCTGTAGGCACTTCTGCTCCTCACTTTCACCTTCAGCTTGGAGCCCTAGAGGGAGGAGTCCCGCACTTTACTGGTGTCCCCAAGAAGCCGAGTCCTCCACCCTCTCCACTTGTCTCCATTCCATTGATCCAGAGGGGAGCCCACCAGAACAGTCCCTGCTGACACTCTCCTCTTTCCCTTCTTGGCCCTCAATACCACGCATCACCCCAAACCTGGTGATACCGTCGTCGTCATCCATAGCTTTTATTAAGCACTTACTATGCCCTAAACTCTGAGCCAAGAGCTTCCCACCCATCTGTTATTTGTTTGATTCTTAGGGCAACTTTCTTTTTTTTTTTTTAATTTTTTTTTTTTTTTTTTTAGTTTTCGGCGGACCCAACATCTTTGTTTGTATGTGGTGCTGAGGATCGAACCTGGGCCGCACGCATGCCAGGCGAGCGCGCTACTGCTTGAGCCACATCCCTAGCCCCGCAACTTTCTGATGTACTCGCCATCCACAAAATGAGCACCTGTATCTGGGCACTATTTACAAATGAAGGAACTGAGGCTCGGGGAGGTTAGGGGAACTGCCTGAGGTCAGAAAGTGGTAGAGATGGGATTTGATCGCAGCTCGGACTCCACCTTCCTTCTCAGAGCCTTGCTAGAGTGATTTCCATTTCCGTTTTGTGTCCCTCTTGCTACTCTGCCCTTGGTGCTTATTTACCTTTTCCTCTCTGCATGCTTCCTCTGCCTCCTGACTGAACATGTTCCTCCAAAGGGAGATTGGCTTTGCATTTCTATGCATCTCCCGGGATGCCAGCGTGGTGCTGGGAGATGGCTTGGCTGCTCCACATCACATCCTCAACTTCAAGATGCCCCAGAAGAACCTCCAACCTGTCTTATGGCACAGTCCCTGCCGGACCAGCGTGCTCTGCGTCTGTTGCCTTCCTTTCCCCTGACCTATCTCTAGCACAGGCCCTGATCTCATTCCAGTCCATTCTAAAGAAATGAGAGAAAGTTCCTCTTAGCCGCTGCATTCCTCCAGATGGTCTCCGCCCCTAGCCCTGAGCTGCTCCTCCCACCCCTCACCCTCCTGCCCTTACCTGAGACACAGAGCAGCAGCAGCAGCAGCCCCAGCGGTGGCCACCTCTGCTGGCCTGCCCCCTGCATCCCGTCCTTCTCCCTGAGTCTTCTGTCTGCCAGGGCCTCTCTAGCGGCAGGAGGACCTTGCCCCATGGGGGGTGTCTACGGTTGTCCCCCAGAGGTGCTGCTGTTTCTTCAGATTGAGAAACTCTGAGGGAAATGTAACAAGGGAACAGCCCAGGAAAAAGCAGAAGGTGAAGAGACAGCGTCCTTCCTACCTCTATTATGTCACAGTTGTATTGCGAAACTCTCAGCGGCTCCCCGTTCTCCACCACAGCAAGTCTAGCCCCATCCTTGTGGGGTCCCCCCTCTGCTCCACTCTGTGCCTCTAGTCACCAAAACACTGCTATCAACTGGCCACTGCCCACCACATCCCGCCAACCCGCACACCACAGTCCCCATCTGAAATGACACTGGGCATCCAAACTGTGCCCACCCTCTAAGGCCTGGGTTGAGCTTTCAGATGACAACACCTTCGCCAGACTTACTCCACACCGTGGTTCTCAGATATGGGAGGTGGCTGAATCACTCCAGAAGCCTGGCGGTACACACACACATGCCAGGACTCTGAGCTGGCAGGCCTGCAGAGACACCCAGGAGTCTGCATGGTAGCAAGCAGCCTTAGTGACTCTGAGGCAGGTGTCCAAATAGACCATGCCTGCAAAAGCCCCGTTTGCAGTCAGATGCACCTTGAGGCCTGCTCTGAGCTCTCCCTGTGTAGGATGTAGACTTCCCCAAGCAACCCAGTCAGGGCATAGACACGGACACCACAGCTATAATAATGACAGGTGAATGACCATGAGGAGGCCCTGGGCATTTATTCCAGTTCTCTCACTTAATCCAGTCAGTGCTGCAAGAGTATGCAATGGATGTTTGTCATCTTTTGACTCTCTGGCACCAAATACTTTACTGGAAAGGTGAATGTGGCCCAATGCATAAGTTTTCCTGAACTGTGGCCCTCTGCTTCCCCTTCTGTTAAGTAGGAAGGCAAATATTCCTCCCACACTTCTTCCGGTCAGCTATGACATGCCCACAGGCACTGACCTAAGCTCAGCAAAATGCATGATTTCACCCAGGATTCTAGATCCTGAGAACTGGATTGATTCAAGATTCAGAGCCCGTGGGAGATGACTTACACGGAGGCAATTTAAGCATTCGGAGTCCAGGAACAGCATATAGTAAGTGGCTGGTGACTTCATGTGTCCAGAGAAACATCACCAGATTATCTCCTACTTAATCCCAGCTGTGGCCTCTGCTCTGCCTTCCCTTTTGGTATCTACCGATTTTCTAAACCTGGTTCTCCAGCCTCCTCATTGACCCTGTGAGCTCCCAGGTTCCCTCTGCAATCCCTCTGCTATCATGATAGCCCAAGTACAATGCTATTGTTGGTCTTGACAACCATCACTGGCATTGGTTAGGTGGCCTTGTGTCCTTAGAGGCCATGAGGCATACTGAGGCCCAGAAAATGCAGTCACTCCAGATCAGACATACTGACTGCAAGAATGCAGAGCTGGGACTCAAACCCAGACACGGTATCGTTTTGTCAGCCAAATTTCCAGCAAGAAGCAGAAGGCTCGCCGAGACTAAAAAACTAAGGAGCATTTAATAAAGATACAGGCATTTGAGGAAGCCAGTTCGGGATGCTGCAGTAGCTGAATCTGGCGGCCATAGTGAGCTGTCACCACCTACAGATCTGCAGGGTGAGAGGATGGAGCAGTCACCTAAACTTGGAGCTAGTGGCCATCTGGTGAGGGGCTTGAGGGAACCTTCAGAGTGAATGCAAACACATATGCCATTCCCTGGCCTCGTCTCTTCCCACCCTCTGCTGTCCTCTCCTGCTGCCCATTGGCTAAACCCAGCCAGAAGGTGGTGCCTGACAGAGCCTGTTGACATCACCCACATGGGCAGGTTCCCAGGTGTGCACTCGAGAGTGTCCAGCACGACAGCTTGTCTTCCAATGTAATGTAGTGCACAGAACTTTCCAGGCAAACATCATTTATTGGACTTAAATACAACTTAACCTGTAATTCAATGACTCACACAGCACACCAAGCCATGCAACTGGATGTCATGGTGTTTAACAGCCAGCATTATGATTTCTTTGAAACAAACCTGAGAAGCATGAAGAGAACTGTATGCTATGATGCGACAGGTCCGCAGGAGCCCCGGAAGCTGAGCATGTGTCTTATGCTTCCAGATAATGCAATGCAGGTGTTTTAAGGGATACCATTTGGGCAACACTGCTCCAGTGTGTCCTGCCTCTTCTGGACAGCATCTAATTACAGTGTCTCCCCCCCCTCCCCGACCTGGTTTTTTTTTTTTTTTTTTTTTGTCACCTTCATAAACTGGAGCAACATTGAAACTGCTAAAATGCAGGTCCCAGACCAGCCACCTCAGGATGCAAATGCTGTGTCACATAGTCGCTGCATCTGAGCTGCTCAGTTCAAGACAGGGAAGGAGATGAGATGCTCAACTTCTGGATAAGTCCTTCTCTCTTCTCTGCAGACTGGCCAGAGCTCCAGGACGAACTGAATTCCACTCACACCCCTTCAAATGGACTCAAAACTGGGGGATCAGAAATCATCTCTGAGGTCAGTGCCATCCCTGGGTAGGTTCAGACAGTGCAATATTCATTAGAAGGGGGTCCTCATGGGATGGAAGGATGCACCTGAGAACTAGGTATTTTTTCCCCCACAGGAGGAGGGGAAAGTCTTGGAGATTATAGGAATATATTTTTCTGGCGTGAGACAGATGCTACGTGGCAAGGTGTGTTCGCTCTTGGAGGCTTTAGGATGAAAATGACCTTGACCATTGCTGAATTGGAAGGACCCTTTTGCTTTAGAACCCAAAGATAGGAGATAGGAAGTCCTGGTATGAGGCTGGGGGACACACGTGGGTGGCCTGCATACCTATTTCATGGGGCACAGTAGGAGGGTCCCAGAAACAGCATGGGAGCCGTCAGGGGAGTTGGGTGCAGACCAAATGGAGGAGGATGGTGAGTGAGAGGTAAGGGGCCCACAGGGCAGCCTCCAGAGCCTCAGTGGTGGGCTACTGTCACCCTGCCATGACTGCCCCTCATGTGATTCAAGGACGAGAGGCAGAACTCCTTGCTCTCCACATGGCTATGGATCCCCTCAGCAAAAGAGTCTGGTTTTCCTTCCTGCCAGTAGGTGGGACTCGCGTGGCCTCACCTTGGTCACATACACCTCCACCTTCATGGGTTAGCTTCAGGGTCCAGAGACAAAGCGCACCCGGCAAGGCGGGTTCCATCCACCCATCGTCCTACACGCCCATCTTGTCTCCTGTGCTTTCCCAGGACGAGCCGTCAGCGTCACTTTCTCATTCCCAGTTACTTAATTCCCACCGTGGCATCTTCTCTTCTCCTTGTTCCATGGGTAGGAATGTTGGGACAATCACGATGAAAGGAGAAACCAGGCATCTGATTCTCGAGAGAGGGAGGCTCGCTCCAGTGGCGGGGGAAGGAGGATGCTTCTAAGTTCTATCCATGTGGCCTAAATTGTATAGTCCAGGGTAAGGACACGGGGCAGCAATTTCAGCTGTGCCCACTGAACCTCACAACCCCGCAGGAGAGGGACAGTGGAAAGCACTGGACTCTGTCTTGATTTCACGCCAAGCTGCGGATGGAATGGAGAGCCACATCTTCTCTTCTGAGGGTGATCCGTGTGGACAGGGCCAGGGAGCGGGCAATCCTGGCCTAGGAATCACCTGAGGGCACATTTTCGATTCAGGTCCCTCTCCACTTGGCTTCCAACAACTGCCAGGTGGACATGGATGGAGGTCAGGGTCACTGTCGTGGGTTCCTGGGTCTAGAGTCCAAATGACCTCTGAGTGACAACAAACAGGACAGTGAAGACCAGGCTCTTAATGAGGATTCCACAGGCCACAGGAACGACAATGCTGAACACAGGGAGCCTGTGGGCGAGAGAGAGAGAGAGAGCACTGCCACCAGCCATGAGGACCCCACACTCAAGGGTTTAGACATTCCTTCATGTTCCCATCTTATCCGCTCAGTTCCTCCCACAGCTTCCCAGACTGTCTGGCCCTATGCAAAGCCCTTCGCTCCATTCCCTAAAACAACCCATTAGAAACATGTTTAGTGAAAGTATAGGGTTCACGCCCAGGTGAGCTTCATCTTGCCTTGGATGCGGCAGAGAGAGAGGGCCCCCGGGCCTGGAAAGCTCAGCTCATCTCTATCCTCAGCACCGTGGCCTGCTTCCTGGGATGGTTGCCTCCCCTCCCCCCACCTCCACCTCCACCCCCTGCATTTAGCCTCTGTTTCCTTGTTTATAAATCAAGAAGAATCCAATCCTAGAGAAAATCCAATCCCGGATTTGTCTAGATGTTAACAAAATGATTCTACAAGTCCCAAGTAGACATCAGTAAATATCATGAGAAAGAGACCCAGTGAGAGCAGGGACAGGGGCATCCCATCAGCAGATCCGGAAGCAGATGTCAAGGCAAGTCCTCTACCCGCTGAGACACAGGGACAAGGGGAGGAAGAGGCAGCAACGGAACAGAGGCCAGAGAACACTGTAATATTATATAAGAATTTAACATCTAAGGGAATCAGCAGCCCTGTGGGCAAAGCAAGGATTCTTTCATAACTATCTGTTTCATAACAGTGGGAAGAAAGAGTAATCTTTCTTCAATTCCACTCCCCAGCCCTGGATGGAAAATTTAAATAAATTGAAAAACAAAACCACAGAAAAATCACCAGGAAACAGAATTGAGCACATTTAAGGAATAAAACAAAGCGATAATTTTCAAACCAGCACACATTATCCATTCGAAACTTAAAATTGGATGTACAAACTAGCAGACAGAATCATCCCAGCAAGAGGCAAACTGCCCATCTGTGCTGACACCCACCCTAGTCTCCACCTTGTCCTGTATCACCCGGGACTGCGTTCCCAAGGATGCTAGTCAAGTTCAGCAACCAGTGGTGCTAGCAGCCAGGCCTTGGGGACAGGGAAGCCAGCGTCTGTCTCATGGTTGCAACGGTACCCACCAGGATGCCAGCCTCTGCCCTGGTAGAGCCTTCCTGCAGAGAGCCCTGATTTCTGAGCTTCACTCACCCCACTCCCTCCCTAGGGCTCTGCCTGATACCCTGGAGCTGTTTGTTTTCATGCCCAAGGATCCTGGGGGGCATCCACCCCCGCTGGGCCATCATCTCATGTCTTTCAGAGGCTGCACACAAGTCCCCAGAGCCCTGGGGTGCCTGGGAATTCATGGGCCCTGCTCATTGCTTAGAGCCCCTCTACCCAGTGACTGTGAGTGCGGAAATATCAATACTTGAGGTTTCCAGCATAGGGACACCTCCGTGTCACCCAGACCTTTTTTGAAAGACCAAAGCTGTCCCTGTGAAACCTCACTTATTTTCTTCCCTTTGCAGTCCCACTTCCTTAGTGGCTCTGCCAGTGATCACTTCCTAAAACATTTGAACATGACTGTTTTTCCCACAGCCTGTCCCTCACACAGTAACCCTGAGACAGGATGCTCGGATCCCCCCCTCCAGGGCCTCACCACCCCCAGGTTGGGGGCTCCACTCTTTCGTCACCAGGGCTAACCACTCCTTCTTTCTCAAACAGCTGTCGGTGACTTCTGACCAGCAGAATAGTTAATATTAGTTAATAGAGTTAACAGGTAAAAAGAGGTACAGTCTCTTCTAGGAATATGGGCAAAGATGCCCACATTCTCTACCTATTGAAAAGTAAAAGTAGTGAAGACAGAAAAGCGTTAACTCACACTAGATTATTTTATTTAATCCACAAAGCTTAAATGAGCACCTATTATGTACCAGGCACTCAGGCTGTGTGAGTAAAACTACATAAGGAGGAAGATAAATAAGTCATTGCCCACTCTCATAAGAATGGAAACTGAGTAGCTGATCTCCAGCTGACCTACATCCTGTAAGTTAACCAGTTCCAGACTATGGGTAATCCTTTTAATAATGTAGAAATTAAGAAAGTAAGGAAATATGTTACCTAGTACACACACTGCATCATGGGTAATGTGGTAATGATATGTAAAGAGGAAATAAATTTAGTCCCAACATTAAACAGAAAAATCACTGTCTCTACCTTCCTGGAGCAGGAGTCCACATTAATGAAGAAGTGAAGATGGTTACCAGGAATTTTTTTCTCCCCTTGATGCTGAGAATTAAACCCAGGGCCTTGCGCATGCTGAGCACACGCTCTGCCACTGAGTTATGGCCCCAGCTCCAGCAGGAATATTGTTACAACACTAAACCCACGTTGGCAACCTGCGGTGGCACCTATGCATTATGGATCACCTGCAAATTCTGTCCGATCCTTTGGAAGACCATTTATCCATAAGACGTGGATGCAGAATGATACACGTGTTCAAATTCTCTCATGGAAATTTTGTTTGAATAAATGATTTTCTGATGACAACATCAATGACTAAGAATAGGCAAATGACTAGGTTCTTGATGATTTTTCCAATGGACAGAAAAGTATGTGCCCATTGAAATTCTAATTTGAGGAAGACTACATAACAACATTGAAGGATAATCGGAGCAGGAAAAATGATGCAATGTGTATAATTAGAATTAGCACCATGTGAAATATGAAGCGTGAATGAGGATCAGGTGAGAAGACGGGGGAAAGACATCATCAGTGGGAATATGGAAGAATATTTCTTTCTCTGTTAATTCAATATTTAATGATACCACGTTCTAAGATAAATCAGCATTTAATAACAACTGTAAAGCAAGGTGTTCATGCCAACTCAGCGGCTCTTTGCTGCTATTGTTTGGATCTGAGGTGTTTTCCAAAGTCCCACGTATTAAAGGCTTGGTCCCCACATTGGCACTATTGGGAAGTCATGGAAACCTTGAGAAATGAGATCTGGTGGAAGGTGTTTAGGTCATTAAGGTCATTCCCTTGAAAGGGAGAGTGGGACCCCCAACCCCTTTCTCTTCCTTTTTTTCTATGTCCTGATCATAAGGTTTTGCCAGGCATTGCCACTGTGATGTACTGCCTCAACCCAGGCCCAAAAGCCATAAGGTCAACCAATCCTGGACTGATACTTCCAAAGCGTTGGGCCAAACTAAACCTTTCCTCTTTATAAACTTATTACCTCAGGTATTTGTTACAGTCACAGAAAGCTGACTAACATACCTACACTTTAGAAATCTCCTGAAAAAATAATTTAAATGTACTAAGACCAGACCCACCTCCAGAAATTTTCATTCCATTGGTCTATGGTAGAATATTTACACCAGTGTTAAAATCAAACAAAGCAAATAAAATCAAACAAAATAAGACAAAGACAAATGCTTTAGACAATCATAACCTAGAGCTGCTATGGAGCTACATGATCCCTTCCAGTTTTTTAGCATGCCTGCTGTACCAACAGGACACTGAAGCCAGAGAGGGTCCTGACCTGCCCAAAATCACACAGTTAGTTTGCCTGACACAAGAAACCAGGGTCCCTAACTCACAATGCTTTTTCCATTGCACTATTAGACTGGATCACCTGGGATTTTCCTCTCCTCGTCACTTCGTTGTCCAAGGCACGAAGAGGGTGAGCTGAGGAAAATGGCACCCTTGTTCAGAGTTTCCTCCTCACTCTACCACCACCCACTTCCTTCCCTGGGAATTTCCACCCAGACTGAAGCAACTCTTGCCCCACCCTCCCCACCTACCCCCATCCCTCTTCCACCACATCCTCTAAACACATGAACTAGGGAACAAAGGATTTGGTGTCCAAACCAGGAGTCCCAAGGCCTGGAAATCATACCTGATGGCATCTGTGGGGTTGACTGTGGTGTTCGGGGGGATGACAGCTGTTGACATGGGTAGGGATTGGACCACCGTTCTGGAGCTGGTATAGAATGTTCTCAGGGTCTTCGTGGTAGGAAGGGTGGTGGGACGGATGGTAGTAGGAGCCAATTTAGGGGTAGAATTCTTGTCAGAAGTACGCTTAGTTGAAGGATCTGCAAGAAGCACATTGGATGGATGGATAGATGGATGGATGGATGGATGGATGGATGAGTAGGTGGATAGATGGATGAATGGATGGATGAATAGATGGCAAGTAGATGGAGCCACAGAGGGAGATGAAAGTAACCTTTCAAGAAGCAAGGTTTTCCTTTGCCAAAACCAAAAATGTAGTATAAGGTTAGCCTCAGTCAGAGATAGGAAGGAGGAAGAGAGAAATGGAGGAAGCAAGGGAAGAAAGGAGGAAGGAAGGGAGAGGGAGAAAGGAGCTCTCAGGGTATCTGGGTTATTGGAAATGTACGTGCCTGCTCTTCTTTACTTATCTATATGCCCCTCCTTTTTCCAAGAATAATTCCCTTGTTATTCTATCTTATCCCATTCACTCTGCCTCTTATAAGTACATATTACTTTAAAAGTTATCTTGTGGGCTGTGGCTGTGGCTCAGTGGTAGAGCGCTTGCCTAGCATGTGTGAGGCACTGGGTTGGATTCTCAGCACCGCATACAAATAAATAAAAATAAGGATCCATTGACAACTTAAAAGAATAAGTTATCTTGTATTAATCCACTGCATATGTGCCATGTCTTAGGCTTAGAATTCCCCTAGTGCTAGGAACTTCAACCTGTCTGCCTTTCCTCTGTCTTCCTTAGTTCATGTAATATTAGTTGCTGGGGACAGAGAGCCCAACAAGGTACAGGCCCTTTCTCAAGGAGTTTGAAGATTGATAAGGGAGACAGATAAGTAAACCAGTCACTACTCCCCCGTGAGATCGTATTGTCCACAGAAGGACCCCGAGTGAGCCTGCAGACATGCTCCCGACAAGTGGGAGTCACCTTGGGCCTACCAAGTCAGGATCTGTATTTGAAAGGAGACCCCCACACAGCTGACACTCCCTGGGAGGCCTGGGGTGCACTGTTTTAAGAGCTTGGGAGGAGGAGAGGGAAGTCACAGGAGGCTTCCCAAGGACATGTCTTCTAAGTGGAGACCTGAGGTAGGGGAGTAAATTCTCCCATATCTACTGCTCACCTTTTAAAGCACCCCACTTCCCATAACTGTACCCTAAATTAGGCTCTGCAACCCAAAGGGAATCCATGCTTAGAAGCCTCTGCTTGCTGTGTGTGAAATGCCTGTTGAGGGCCTCACAGAGCAGACAAGGAGCTTCTGGGAGAACGCTGGCTGGCTAGGACTCCTGAGCTCTGCTGGTGACACCACCACATCCATCCACTCCCAGGTCACTCACCCACGGTCACCACCAGGCGGACAGGATGGAACAGGAGGACAGGCTCCTTGGGAGGAGGATAGTAGACCACACACCGATACAGTCCTGAGTCCTCCACTTGAAGGTTGATCATTCGGACCTGAAACATGGACTCCGCAGGGTCATCTCTGAGAATGTACCTCCCCACCTGGATTTGATTGAGTGTCCCCTGAGATCTTTCTGTGACAGCCAGTGTCTGGGGCTCCTCCCCATTCCTCAACCTCTGCCAAGCCTTCTGGCTGTAGGCATACTTCCTGTTGGAGGGACAGTCCACTGTCAGGGTCTCCCCCTCTTGTAAGACATACTTTTCCTCTTTTGACTGAGCAGCAGCTTGGAGTCCTATAAGCAGAAAAACACAGTTACACAGTTAGTCTCTGTCATGAAGAGTTGGGAAAGAAAAGGAGCCAGCTCGTTTTCTTGTCTAACCACCCATTTTTCAGATGAGGTCCTTGAGGCCTCTGGAGAAGAGGCATCTTGCTTTTTAAGCCACACTGGACACTAATCTCTCCACCACGAAGTGTTGGGTTTTGTTTTTTACAACAAGAGCCACACTGAGCAGAGTCCATGAAAATTCAATTTGATAAATGATCCTTTTGAGAGGAAGTAAGTGCCTGATGGGGGACAGAACAAGGGATGCTGTACAGAGATCATGGTGGCTGAGGCATGGCAGAGAGGGGCATGGGGTGAAGAGAGGCGAGGAAGACATGATACCAGCAGAGAGCCATTCTCCAGGAAGCTTGAGGACTTCAGCTAAGTCAGGGGAAAGAGACAAGTTCAAGAAACCATTGAACAAACAGGGAGGAGGCTATTCTGAGGACACAGTGGACAGGGGAACCCACGGTTCCCTCCCGCGCTCTCCCTTCCTTGGGTAGCGCAGCTCTCTTAAGTGGCTTACCCATGGGCCCGCCCACGTTCTCAAGCACAGCCCCACCAACTGGCCAATTAAAAGTTCCCCCTTGCCCTGGCCACACTGATTGGTCATCAACTGAGCCAATTAGAATCCTCCCCGAGCGCACGTCATGAGCTGAGCCAATCAGAATCCTCCCCGAGACTGTTGCGGCTATGGGGAGGGGGGACGTTCCTTCTGGCCCGGGCTGAAAATGCGGGCTGTGGAACTCCCGCTGCCGTCTTTCTACCACGTGGAAACAGCTGTCCGAGAATGAGGCCGGAGGCCGAGGGAGCGAGCCAACAGTGTTACCTGTCTTGAGTTTAGCGGTGCTCCAAAACCGCACCCCTAGGCTCCCCCAGTACCCCAGCGGAGAGACCCCTCCTCCTGTTTTTGACAAGGAGACACAGCTTGTTCCTCCACTGGGGACAAGTCCTCCTCCCTCCCCCCAGGGTCACTGAGCAATGTCCGGAGACACTGCTGCTGTTATAACCAGGGATGGAGGTGGATGCTGCTGGCATCTAATAAGTACAGAAAAGCGACAGTGGCCAAAATATCAGGAGTGCTGAGTTTGAGAACCCCGGGTTTACAGAGACAGTAAGAGTGATTTTTCTGCTCTAGTCCAAGCAGGGCTTGCTGATGGAGGTGCAGAAGATCCTGTCTGTGCTTCCAGGGGGACACTCGGGGCTCTGTGGTTCACTAAGGGACCACAGTGTGTCCACTCAGGCCTGGAGACACCTTGCTCCAGGGAATACCAGGAACAGGTTGGACAGTAATGCCGGGGCAAACCGTGGGTCAGGCCACCCCTACCTGCAGTCACCACCGCTGTTCTCAACACCATGACTGCACTTCCTGGCACTTTCATCCTCCGTGATAGTTCAGGAGTGCCGCGGTGAACAACGCCAAGAGTTGTCCTTTCAGTGAAGTGCTTACCTTCCCTGTTGGCCAGGCCAGGCTCCTGAGGCCCTGCCTATCTCAACCTGACCTTAGGAAGACCCTCCTCAGGGGCTCCTGGGGGTTTGAAGGTGAAGCAGAGCTTGAAGGCCAATTCACTTCTAAGGAAACCTTTCGAAGTTTTTCCCATGCAATGTCTATGCACCCTGGCCAGGAACACCCTCCACAAAAGATGGTGAGCAGAGGTGGAGAGATATCTTAAACCAAGTTTAGTTCCTCATTTATGGAACTATGGCTGAAAGCCTTCTCTGTGCCAGGCACTGTGCTAGACTTTGTGAAAGACACATCAACTCCAACTTCTGGTTGCCACCAAGGAAGACCTAACTTCCCACATTAATGTTACAGATGGATTTCCACTCTTTTTACAAACTTGACCACCTCTTGCGAAAGAAGACAGAAATATATGCTCAAAAGCAGTCTGTACCCCATCACAAGAAAGGAAACCCTTTCAACACACTAATAAAAAAAATACCAATAATAATAATTACCATCTGCCAAGTATTATATGCTAAATGCATTATCTTACTTAATCTTCATCACTTATAAGGTTGCCACTGTTATTCCTATTTTATGGATAAGGAAACTGAGGGACAGAGAAGCTAAGTGACTTGCCCAAGGTCCCACAGCAATAAGGGATGGAGTCAGAATTCAAACCTAGAGAGTCAGCGCAGTGTGTGCTAAGCCTCTGAGCTACATTGTCCAACACTGTTGTCTGATTGGAGTTACAGCATCCCCACCCAAGGATGAATGGGCATCTAGCTGGGAGGGGCTTTGGGGTGAACCCCTAACCTATCCCTGTAGGGTATAATGAAATATACAGCTCTGTTTTTTTTCTCTCACAAGTACCCAACCTTCAATCCTCTGCTTCTCCCAGTTGTCCTTCAGAAAAACATAAGTAAAATAAAAGCAAATGCACTGGTTCATGAGAAACCAGTTCCTATTCGCCTCGGTGACAGTCCCAGCTCCAAGGAGATCCAAAGGAAGCACCCCCAGGTAGCTGCCCTTGACCCTGCTCAATAGGTCCCAGAGACAGCCACTCCCTGGGCTTCTATCTCTTCCCAAGGCAAAACTTGTTTTTAAAGTCTTGTCATTTCCCCTGTCTTATTCGGGTTGATTAGGAGGAAGAACCAGCAACGCCCCAAATGCTCTGCAGATTGTAAGAGACCCGTAGGGCTGGGGATGGATCAGCTCTGCTGAGCGTGCACAACAGGGCCCTCCAGCCCCAACACGCAAAAGAAAGTAGGGGTCCTAACCTCCTGGAGAAGGGGCTCCAGGCTGCTTCTGTTCCCACCTGTGTCTTTAGCAGTAGCAGATTTGCTGATTCACAGTAGGCCCCAGGAAATACTTGTTAAATATATGGTATCTTTTGAGTTAACAGATGTCCACATTAAAAGCACCATGATGGAACACATAAAGTCCAATTTTCTGTATAATTTTTAAAAAGTACTAATTTTAAAAAGAGAAAAATGCTTTTCAAAATCAGACAAAATTATTTCTGATCGTACCCGAGTTAGATTTCCTCTATCATTATTTTCATCTAGGGTTTTTCTGTCTTTGACATCCAAATGCAAAATGCACAGGGAGGCTGGGGACATACCTCAGTGGGAGAGCACAGATGCCTAGCATGCATGAGGACCTGGGCTCGCTTCCCAGGACTGCCCAAAAAAAAAAAAAAAAAATCAGAAACATCTTTCTTCCCTAATTCCACCCTTCTTTGATGTCTGTGCTCAGACCTGTGCGTTCTCCTGGTCCTGCAGACCTTGGGTAGAGAAGCTCAGACTGCTTTAACTGCTGGTTGGCTTTGTCTTGGGTGGCCGGGTGCTCTGGTGCTTCTAAAAGAGAAGGTCTCCTGGGGTCCAAACCAGAGGTCTCACCTGCTCGCACCTCTCCTTTGCCTTACCTGAAAAAAACAGCGTCCACAGTAGCCCCCAAAGCATCATCCTTCAGGGATTCCAGCTCCAACTGCCCCTGTGGGCTCCTGTGTCAGTTATAAGGCACCACCCTGACACAGTGGCTCCGGAAAGTTGCTCAACAGGACATGAGGCCATTCCTGGAAGGTTCCGGGTCAGATGCTTTGTTCCATCACTGTTGACTCTGGTTGCATACGTCAATGAGGAATCCAGAGACCACGGCCCAAGATTCAATTAAGCTTCTTTGAACCTCAATTTCCTCTTCTCTAAGACCCATGGTAATTACCTTCTCAGCCTCACAAAATTTAAGTGAGCTGGGAGCGATGGCACACACCTGTAATTCCAGTGACATGGGAGGCTGAGGCAGGAGGATCAAAAGCTGGAGGCCAATCTCAGCAACTTAATTAAGCCCTGAGTAACTCTTAGCAAGACCCTGCTTCAAAATAAAAAATAAAAAGAGATGGGGATAAAATGATAAAGTGCCCCTAGGTTCAATCCCCAGTACCCCCCTGCAAAAAATTGTGAGAATAATTGTGGTCAATTATAATTGCTGCCACGACATCCATTTTAAATACAGTTTTCACTTTCTCAATCCAGCTGCAGGCCTTAGTCACCTCTGACACTGTGTCCAGTTCCTCAAAGCGGTGAATCCAGATATCTGACTCATACAACTTCCTCCTAGTGACCATCTTCCTTGGGACAGCCGAACACAGTCCACTTCACTGGGCCCACTGGACTTGTGCAGATATGTCACTGTTACCACCACTTGATCACAGTGTGACCTCCCAGGACTCAGGCCTGCTTGCTTTAAATGGCAGCAGTTACATTTCCCTGAGTGAGGGGCTGGGGTGTGGCTCAGTAGTAGAGCGCTTGCCTAGCATGTGTGAGGCACTGGGTTCGATCCTCAGCACCACATAAAAATGAAATAAAGATATTGCGTCCACCTCCAACTAAAAAATAAATATTTTTTTTAAAAATCCCTGAGTGAAACCTGCCCAAGACTCCTAAAGGTGTTGGTCCACAAGTTGTGATCTCTCTCCACTCACTCCCTGGCCTGCATGTGGGGGCCCTCTGGGCATGCCCCATACCCACTGGGACCTATAAGTAAAAAAATCTTTATTTCCTTCTGTGTGTCTGCTAATCATTGAGGGGGTGCTCTTCACCTTGAAGGTTCTCAGTCAGAACTATTGGCAGGACGGAGAGTGCTTCTGCCTCTAACATCCACCAGGGGAGGCGGTGCTGTTCCCTGTAGTTCAACTGACCCCCCTCTGCTGCCGTCACCTCTGTAGAGTGCCGCTAGGCTGTCCACCCTAAAATGTTAGTGACAATGATAATGCTCTGTCATGTTCCTCACGACTAAAACACTCAGGCTCACTCCAGGGGAACTGGGCTGCACAAAATAACCCCAAAAGAGACAGAGATATCTTTTTCTTTGGGGTCCTGTAACAGCTCCTCAGACCTTAAGGGTCCACAGAAAGAGAGAGAGAGAGAGAAAGAGAGAGCACATGCTGACTCCTTTTATTGAGGAGAAGCCATTCAAATGAGGCCAGGGGTCAAGTTTCAGGGTGCTGAGTCTAGCTTCATGATGTCCACTGTCAGCAGGTTGACTGACATCTAGGAAGGCCACACCCAAGGGCAGAGCAAGAGAAGGGAACACATTAAGGGTGTTTCCATGGAACATTCTATCTCAAACAGGGCAAAGGGTGGTATCACAAAGGAACAGGTGAGTAGCTCCATCCATGGGGTGACACGCCTACGTCTGAAGACGCATCCTCAACCTCTGGGACCTGGGCAAAGTTCAGGTCACTAGAGATGTAGTGACAGTCAGAGCCTCTCCACTCTGGGACAGAGAATATGAGTCATTCAGAGGGGCCTCCCCACAATGCTCCCCAAAGTGATCTGGCCCACCCCAAGAGGGACTCTAGTCTAGACCAAGGGCCAGGGTGGCTCTGGGACCCTGACTGGGAAGGCGCCCACACGAGGCAACTCTCTTAGAGTGAAGTGTGACATTCCTAATCCCTTGTCCCCAGTAACAACTATTTCTCTGTCCCAGCCTGAGCCAAGGTGAGCTCCTGAGACCACAGGGCAACATTCTCGCTAATGAAACAACTGGGGGACAACGTCCCAGAGCCCCACAGTTCTCCTCATGGGGTGTGGTGGGGTGTGACAGCAGCGAAGTGTCACTGGGGGACCCCATTCAGACTGGAGGTATCTGCAGTTGGTACAGTGGGTCTAATGCTAGAAAGGGTGGCCCCTGCTGGGGTCCACCCTGCTTTCTTGCTGGGTCCCTTGATCCTGTCACCCATGTCCCCAGCCCCATGGGGTATCATGAGTCTAATTCCTGGCCTCATATGGCTAAGACTCTGATGGGGATAAATATAAATACTCAGGACACTTGGTCCCTGTCCCACCACAGACACCAGAGGATGTCAAAGCAGCTCTTGGGTAAATGCCAAACTCCCAAGGAAGCCGCGGAGGCCCGGCTGGGTACTCTGCCTGCAGAGGTGGGGCCTGGGAACCAGGAAGATGGAGAAGAAGAATCGCACTGGGGGACACTGACCTGATCCCTCAGAGTCGATTGGGACACCTGGAAAGGGAAGTGGCTGTCCAGGAGGCCAGCAAACACAAGGTCAGACATATATGTATATATATATATATATTTTTTTTTTTTTTCTTGTAACAATCAGTATAAAGTCCAAAACAGGCTACTCAGTCCCACCAGGATGAGGTCAGCAACTGTAGAGAGACAGGAGAGGGAAAAATTTTTAGTCACTTAGAAATGCAAAAGATTTTACTTAAAAGAGAAAGATTGGGGGGGCAGGAACTGACGAGCATGTGGTGGGGCCCTCCCTGGAGGCACGGGGCCCCTTTCCTCCTCCCTTTTTCCTTCTTATCAACCACAGACAGACGCTAAGAACCTGGCTTCAGGTGGCTAAAAACCTAAAAATGAAAAAGCCTGCTGTTCTTAGGCAGCAACAAGTCCCAGGGGGAAGGAAACTTGAAGCTTTAAGTCCTGAGCAGATGCCAGGCGTGGGGATGGTGATGCTGGACCTCGATTACTTACGTCATTTAGGAACAGATCGCCAGGTAACTGGGGAAATAAAAGGTGATCAAGTAAAATATATGCACATATATTTAAATATAATATGAAATAGGTAAATGTATATACACTTTCCTTAATGTGTTTCCATTGAAATTCAAAAATCATGCATTAGTTTATATGCCAAAAAATTCTACAACCAAAAAAATTTTAGCTGGGTCCAGTGGTGCACGCTTGTAATCCCAGTGACTTGGGTGGCTGAGGCAGGAGGATCCCAAGTTCCAGGCCAGCCTCAGCAACTTAGCAAGACCCTAAGCAACTTAGTGAGACACTGTCTCAAAATAAAAATTAAAAATAAATAAAAAGGGATGGGGACATAGTTCAGTGAAAAAAAACACTACTAAGTTCAATTCCTAGTACAAAAAAAAAAAAAAATTAAAGGACACCGATTGGTTTTTGATCCTACAGTTTAGGTTCTAACTAAACTTTAACATATATGACAACACAATGGTTCTCAAAAATTCACGGACTTCCTATTGCAGCATAGATTATAGTTCTACTTGGGGATCCTGCTAAATTTAAACCCTGCCCTATAATATTGAAAAAGGCAACTAAATATTAATGTTTTATAAAAGAATATGCATCCCCATAACCATAGTTTTGCCTAAATTTCCTACAGTCATATACTCATTGCTGTGAAATATTCTATGTCGGTCCTGGATGCTCTGACACAATGAATGAATTAAAATTAGCCCTGGGGTGTGGCTCAACGGAGGCGTGCTTGCCTAGCATGCCTGAAGACCTAGGTTCAATCCTTAGCAACAAAAAGTAATAAATACAAAACCACCCTAAGATACCATCTCACTCCAGTAAGATTGGCAACCATTATGAAGTCAAACAACAACAAGTGCTCGCGAGGATGTGGGGAAAAGGGTACACTTGTACATTGCTGGTGGGACTGCAAATTGGTGCAGCCAATTTGGAAAGCAGTATGGAGATTTCTTGGAAAGCTGGGAATGGAGCCACCATTTGACCCAGCTATTCCCCTTCTTGGTCTATTCCCTAAAGACCTAAAAAGAGCATGCTACAGGGACACTGCTACATCGATGTTCATAGCAGCACAATTCACAATAGCAAGACTGTGGAACCAACCTAGATGCCCTTCAATAGA